GCGGATGTTTTGCGGTATCCGCTTATTTTTAGACAAACCTATTCTGTTTTCCCCAAGAAGTAACATGAGCATCGGAAGCTAATGAGTCCAAGCGAGGAATCACAGCTTAGGATTATCAATGGATATAACTTGTGGTAATAACCGCAATAAGTTGGGATATGCAGTAACCCCTATAACCATGGTTTTACATACATATGTATGGTTATACATCATTATATATATCCACTTATAGCCGGAACTGCTGTTCCAAGTGCCTCTTTACTCTATGGCATATGGAAATGATCCGTGTTTTAGTAAATCACTGTCATGTCAAATTACTAGAGTGCATACAAATCGGGTTTTGGTGTGGCACTTTCAACGTGCAGCCATTCAGAAAGTCAGCATGCTGGTACTAGGATGGTCCATTCTGTCTTCACCGATGATTCCATGGCATGTTCCGATAAGATTTGGGTGTGTCTGAAAATCGGGTATACCAGTATACCAGCATACCCTCATCCAATATCATTCAATGGCAAATCCAATGATTTAGAAGTGATGCTCTCAACTGCTCAACCAATAAATGGAACTTGTTTTTCCATATTTTTCCTGACCTAACTTGAAGAGTCGGTCTCAACACTGGAGGATCATTGGAACCTTTGGCCGTTTTTGGGCTGTTTTTGAGCCAGGGTTGATCAAAGATCTCGAAGAAATATGGGTGTCACCGGTGTCACCAGGAATAGATGAACGGCGTATTGGCCAGGCGACCAGGCGCATGATTTTGGCATTTTTTGAGGTGTCCTGACTGGCGCAACCATCTCAGCATTCGGAGCTCAATCTGAGCGAAGGCTGCACCACCAGTTGTTACGGATTTTTGAAAGACACAATCTGACATCCCAATCTAAGGGATAATCCATGAGAATCTCATCCCCCATTCATATTGAACACCCCCCTTCTATGGTCTCAAAGATGTTAAATTCTCATTGAATATCATGAAATCGGGTGTTTAATATGCACGGCCGATGAGACTGGAATAGACCTTGAGGGCAACCATGCTTGAGCGGATATGAGCCATGACCCATGAACTCAAAAAAACATTCCAATACCACAGTGATGGCTCCCACTACTTGGAGCAGTTTATTGGCCTTCACCATTTTATGGTGTGTTTTTCTCCAATAGTTCAATTCCTCCTGGAACTGGTGGTGTGTTGCCCGTCTGTTTGATTTGCCGTTTCTTCACTGCAGCCAATGTCTTGCAGCGGGGAAAATGCAGTTCAAATGGAAAAAATGCAGCACAGGAGAATCATACTTCGGACGGGGGATGGGAAGCATGTTGACTCTTGGAAGTCCCATTACATACCAATAATTCAATGTCTAGTATGATGTCTACATTGATCATTTGGGTATTTTTTCCACCGAATTGCCTCAAAAACGCCATGGTAGTTGAATATGGGGTTTGGCAGTTTGGGTTTTTCTCAGCGAAAGGACATGAATGGATTTGGGTCCCGCACTGCCCACACACATTGTGCAGATTTACCTTGTCCACTTTCAACGAAATTACCATTGGGTCATTGTTGAAGCCAATCACCCTGAATACACTTCAACAATGTCACACACGCACACCCAGATGATGCATGTATGCTATCATATATATATACACTGTATACTATCCGTATACATATATATATATCATCTTACATGGACCGAGAGCAACATCCAGTCAAATAATATGCCGGATGAATATGCAATACAGTAATTGCTGCCAAGGAATATCAATTATATCATTGCATCGTTGTATGAATGTTGCTTGCACATGTGGGAACGTATGGCATTATGAACTCAACATTGGCAACATTGGCCAGAAGCTTTAAGACTCTTTCGGCAATGACTGATGCAGCAAGCTCAGGCAGATTCGGAAAATCGTATCCCTCGAGACATTGAAGCTGTCCCTGGGGAAAAGTACATGTTTCCATGTGTAACTTTTTTTTTGAATATAGATGGAAGCTTTTCGCCAGAGTCTGAGACCAATCCAGCAACACTAATCCACTAGCCACCGCTAAATGACCCAACCCTGTTCAGAAGTTGCATGATGTACAGACTCCCGATCCCATGGATCCTCGAATCCATGTTGGAGGCCGGGACAATTTGAAGTGACGGGCTTTTGTGGCTTGGGCTGCTGCAAATCACCATTCGCAGAGCTGATCACAAATCGTCCATTGGTTCTTTGTGTAAGGACAACTAAGGCACTAGCGGCTACAGCTGCTATCGGTGTCATGGAATCTGGCCGCTGCAGCAGTTATGCGCTGTGCTCATGGGCTCTTACTCAGAAACTGATGTCTTAGATGTTTCTGGCACACACACACACTTAATGCAATGTCACTAGCAACTCGTAATTGCTTCTTTGACTTCAGAAAACTATGCTTGCAAATTGAGTGCTCGCCCGCAACCAATTACGGTTGACTGCAATCAGATGGAAAGACCCTTTCGTCAAGACTGGCTTCTGTCTTTTGGGTACTCTACTGGTTGATTGAGCATCCCCATTGTAAATTCTTAAAGTCTTTCTACGATAGCTCACGTCGCTGTTAGCCAACCGCAAATATCTAGGTATTTAGAATGAATGTTATGTAATTAGATGAAAATCCCAAACATGGTTGGTATATAACATGTACACACACATATATATATATATATACACATATATTTCTATAAATAGATAGACAGATAAATAGGTAGATGGACAACTAGATTAATTAGATTAGATTACATTAGATAAATTGGATACATTAGATCAATTAGATCGGTTAGACAGGTTAGATCGATTAGATAGATTGTATAGATTGGATAGATTAGATTAGATAGATGAGATTGGATAGATTGGGTAGATTAGACAGATTAGATCGATTAGATTGATTTGATGGATTAAATTAGATAGACTAGATTGATAGAATTTAGATATTAGATAGATCAGATTGATTAGATCGACTAAATAAAATAGATAGATTAGATAGGTTAGGTTTGATTAGGTTCGGTTAGCTTAGTTTAGATATATTAGATAAATAGATAGGTAGATAGATTGATAGATAGATAGACGGATAGACAGATATACCTAGACATAGATAGATAGATAGATAGATAGATAGATAGAGATAGATGGATAGATAGATAGATAGATAGACAGATAGATATATTTATTTATTTAGATATATTTATTTAAATAGATAGAGTTAGATAACTAAATTTAGATAGATAGATTTAGATAGATAGATTTAGATTTGGATGTAGATTTAGATTTGGATGTAGATTTAGGTTTAGATTTAGATTTCGATATATCGATAGGTAGATAGATATTGGCAGATAGATAGATAGATAGCGATAGATATATAGATGGGTGGATGGATAGATGGATAGATAGATAGATAGATAGATAAATAGATATTATATATATATATATTTATACAGATAGATAGATTTAGATAGATAGATATAGGTAGATAGATTTAGATAGATATATTTCAATAGATAGAGATAGATATACATATATAGATAGATAGATATAGATAGATGTTGATAGATATAGATAGATAGATGTAGATAGATAGATAGATAGATGGATGGATGGATGGATGGATGGATGGATGGATGGATACATAGATAGGTAGATTGATAGATAGATAGAAAGATAGATAGATAGATATAGATAGATAGATAGATCGATAGATAGATAGAACGATAGATAGATAGACAGACATACAGACAGATCAATTCTATTCTATCTACTCTACCTAATCTAATTTGTCTATCTAATTCATCTACTCTATCTACTCTATCTAATCCATATATCTAATCGATCTAATCTGTCTGATCTAATCTAATCTATCAAATCTATCTTTTTGATCTAACCGATCTAATCTATCCCATCGACTCTGTTTGTCTAATTATCTCTTCTATCTAACCTATCTAATCTAATCCATCTCATCTATCTAATCTAATCTATCTCATCTATCTATTCTATGTAATCTATCTAATCTATGTAGTCTGTCAGTCTCCGTCTCTGCCTTTGCCTCTGTGTGTGTCTCTCTCTCTCTCTCTCTGTCTGTCTCTCTGTCTGCCTGTTTGCCTGTCTGCCTGTTTGCCTGTCTGCCTGTCTGCCTGTCTGCCTGTCTGCCTGTCTGCCTGTCTGCCTGCCTGCCTGCCTGCCTGTTTGTCTGTTTGTCTGGTCCTGTCCTGTCCTGAATAGAATATATTGGAATGGACTAGAAACGAATATAATAGCATATACTTGAATAGACTTAGATTAGAATTGATTTATAGTTATAGAGGAATAGTATAGATTTGAAGAGACACATAGATTTTCACATTCTTGTTTGGTGAGCCCTCCCAGTTTGCCAGTTTATTGAAAACATGTCCTTTGCATGACAAACAGATGGTACCAGGATGGAGTAGCCGAACCGGCACTGGCTCTGGTTTTGAGGGAGCTGTCCATGATTGAAACGTATCGAGTTTCATTGTTCCGGAAACATCTTCAGTTTTTCTAGCTGCCATGGGGCATAGATTGAGATGAAGCTTTGCGTACGGGTTGGCAGTTGCAAGATCAACAGACTCGACAGTGCTCAACCGAGCCGGTATCAAAAAGGAAGCTGACTTAATGGTTGGTGGTGATCATTTGATAAACCTGACTCCAGTACAACAGAGAACCGGATGATGTTCATTCGAACCAGTGTGATTTTGCCTTACCAGTAGTTGAGAGTACCCTGGGCTGGGAATGGTGATTTTGCGCTAAGTCATGAGGTAAGGATCTACTGATTCACAATAGCTTTGCCGGCTTAACCGTGATTCCTAGGTGGCCTAGTTCTCGAGATGGGATGCGCAGGATGCGCAGAGAAATCATCAAATTTCATCAAAATTCCAGTATTTTTACCCAGGCCCTGAACTGATTTCTAGTTCCGCATTCTATAAGTTTGTTATAGTCTGTGGTAGATGGATATTGGCCTACCACCTGCCACAACCACCTGGAGCTTCCATCAGGATCCCAAGTATGACGTGCTACGCGCCCGCGGGTTCAAGATTTATGAGAAGACTGCAGGAATGTTCTTGGTCTACAAGGCCGGAATGTTGATGAGACATTTTAATACATTTTATACGACACAATTCATAGTTGTTTGTTTTGTTTCTTAAAGATGTTCCCCTATAGTCATTCCATTGAGATACAGTAAGAATTTGTGATGTATGCCTGATTGAAAGGGGGTATTTACGAGCAAACGCAGTGCAAATTTGGAGATTTGAACACGTTGGTTCCAAAATCACAATGTACCGAACATCTTCTGTTTCTATCCCACTTTGCTTCCGCCCAAATAACCAATTCTTGAATTCCGTATCTTACTGTAGTGATCCCAATGTGGATTGGGATGACTTGTTGGTCGATTGCCATAGTGAATGCTCATCCATCATTCCCCTGGTTTTGGTCCCTGCCGACGTGTGATGTTTGAGCCACACATAAAATAGTAGATGTCCATGGGCCAAACTTCTTGCATCACTTGTATCGATCCTATGATGGTTGGTGGTTATGAACATTTTGTATTTTTTTATGTTTCCACATATTGGGAACACTAATCCCATTTGACGAATATTTTTCAGAGGGGTTGAAACCACCAACCAGCTATGATGGTTCCTCTAACAACAGGGACCCCCAATCATAGGATCCCTGCAATTTGGGTGAACCATATGGTGAACCTTTACTCTTCGAACCTGCGGCTTTGGTGGTGAGAACAAAGCAACTGCTCAAAGAATGGCACACCGGCCCGGAAACCCTATGGTTCCGTATGGTTCTGTAGGTTAACCTTTGGTAGGATGAGCCTATTGAACTCACTTTTCGGCCTTGTCTGACATTTTCTGACTGGATTTTAGCCCCTTGTTGCCCCATCCTTTCACAACGAGTTTTTCCTCCGGGAGGTGACAGAAGAAGACATGGACTTCGTCTCCAAGGGAAAATTCCAGGTGCCAGGAGTGTGTCCCGTTAACATCCGTTGACTGTTTCTTCAGAAATTCAGGAGCAGCCTGAGGCCAGGTCATGGATTCCTTGACCATCTTGACCACGACATCTATGGTTGGGCCATTGGTTGGGGCTGTAACCAACCGTCATTGTCCTGGCTGCTGCACAGGTGCCTTTCAGCATTGTCCCGCAGCCGTTGAGGTGGCGGGGTTGCTGAAGAAAGTCATGGAAAATCCTACTAAAACAGAGGAACCTTGATGAATCAATGGTGGTTGTTAGGTGTATAGGTTTTGAAAGGTGACTCGTTGTCAGACGGTTGGCAGAAATATATCGCCACCTGAAGTTGTTCTCAATTCTATTTTGGACCTGAACTTCCGTTCTAGACAATAAGGACTCTATATATATATAATATATATATAGGTTGTTGTTCTTATAAAGCACTTGTGCGGGTTGGTAGTCGCAGGGCATGCAACATAATTAGAAAGCATGTGTCTACGTTTTGGTGTAGCACTCTATGCTTTACCAAGAAGAAATTGGGTACAATCCAAAGTCACATCTGAAGTAAGAGTAAGACTCACCCTTGGTATATACACAGAAATCCCCAAAGATAGAACAGGCAACCCAATTTACTATTTTCTGTTCTATCTTTTTTGGTGGTGCTTGAATTTTGCGAGAAAAGTTGGGCGCCAAAAACTATCTGAGTTTTCCCAAGTGATCAATACCGGCAATGCCTAGTCTAGCCCACTCATTCGTCATTGCTGGTTTTACATATCCGGTTTCCAAGGATTTTCAATGGTCGTTGTTGTTTGTTGGAGGATGTTAGAGGGTACCTGTCCATTTGGACTTCAACGTATTTCTGACATGTTCCCATGAGATTCACGAACACCACTGGGGACCTAATCGTGGAATTTCAGAAGTCTATTCCACCATAGGTCAAATGACACTATTCTGGATGGTGTACTTAAAATTCTAGCTTCAAAGCAACATCATCGTTTTGATGTTCCGCCGTTCCGCCAATGTCCTATATAATTAAATATATTTGTGCGCAATAAGGTAACCACTCATTTTACGGTTGAAGTACTCGTAATTTTGGATTAAAGCAATGTTGGTGGGCAGAATGAGTCACACTTGGGGATTTCCTAAAATAGGGATACCTCCAAATCATCTATTTTAAGAGTATGTTTTATTATCTTAAGAGGATTTTCCATTAGAAGCGATCCATGTTGGGGAATCCCCATGACTTAGGAGATCCCTAGGACTAACCCAGTTGAAAGAACCCACCGTGGTGACTTTCAAGAAAAAACTCTCCGGCAAACATGGCCATTTGAAATCATCCATGAATGTTTTTCCATTAACACCATATAAATAGATGGGTTTTTCCATTTTATGCCATTTCATAGATGTTTTTCCTCTTTTTTCCATTAAAATTAACACCATGGTCACCATGGCATAAAAATCGAGGATTTCTCCATCAACAGCTCCATAATTTTCTTGGAGGAGTTTCCATTAATTTTCCATGTAAAGATACGTAAAGTACCCTCTGGTAAACAAACATAGCTATTGAAAATTGCCCAGTCGAAATAGTTGATTTATCCATTGATAGCATGGTGATTCTCCATAGTTATGTAAACGTATACCAGAGGGTAAACCTTCATTTTCCTATGGTTTTCCTATGGGTTTCCCATCAGTTTACCTCCAGGATAAGAATCATCTCCATGAGGATCTCCATCTTGAAATCAAGGCCGGGTGACTACTTGGTGACTCGCTTGCCAGAAAAGAAGGCGTGACTGGAGGGAGCATCCGGCGCATCCGGGTGCGGCGAAACATGGTTGAAAAATAGACATCATCAGAACCTTTTAGTAATACATATACTTAATGTGTATATCACGAAAGGTAGCTCCAGAGGGGCTACCTTGAGTTTTACTTTACGAAGTAAAGGGGAGGGCGGCCAGCCCCGTTACCTGATTCTTCAGGAGATTGCTAGTCATTTTAGTACCCCCCCCCTCCACACCTCCCACGCACCCTAAGAGCAGACTCAAAACATTGTAATTTACAGTATTTTTGTTCTTTTCGGATCAAGAAACCACATTTTGCTACATGGTGAAACCTCCGTAAATACCAGTGTTTTTGCTAGGTGCTGGCCAAAAAACACTGTAAATACCGTGCTTTTTACTACCAGAGGCAAAAAACATCGTAAATACCGTGGTTTTGGGCTTCCGACCCGCCAAAAACATCGGTATTTACGGTGTTTTTTGCTCCGAGAGTTGCAAAAACACGCGAAAACACCACCGATTTGACGATTTTCGGCCACTACGGAACCGAGCAAAAACGCTGCAGGGGTAACACCAACACCAACAACAACACCAACAGCAACAGCAACAGCAACAACAACAACGACGACAACAACAACAACAACAACACCAACAGCAACAGCAACAGCAACAGCAACAACAACAACGACGACAACAACAACAACAACACCAACACACAACGCACAACGCACAACGCACAATGCACAACGCACAATGCACAACGCACAACGCACAACGCACAACGCACAACGCACAACACACAACACACACACAACACACACACAACACACACAACACACACAACAACACACAACAACACACAACAACACACACACAACACACACAACAACACACACACACAACAACACACAACAACACACCACAACACACAACAACACACAACAACACACGCAACACAACAACGCAACAACAACACACACACACAACAACACACAACAACACACAACAACACACACAACAACACAAACAACACACAACAACACACCACAACACACCACACACACACACACAACAACACACAACAACACACAACAACACACAACAACACACAACAACACACAACAACACACAACAACACACAACAACACACAACAACACACAACAACACACAACAACACACAACAACACACAACAACACACCACAACACACAACAACACACAACAACACACACACACAACACACAACAACACACAACAACACACCACAAACACCACACACAACAACACACAACAACACACACAACAACACACAACAACACAACAACAACACACAACAACACACAACAACACACAACAACACACAACAACACACAACAACACACAACAACACACAACAACAACAACAACAACAACAGCAACACATCAACAACAACAACAACACCATCAACAGCAGCAGCAACAACAGCAACAACAACAACAACAACACGAACACGAACAATACCAACACCAACAACACGACCAACAACACCAACACCACCAACAAACCCAACCACACCAACAACACTAACAACACTAACAACACCAGAAACACTACCACCACCAACAACACCAACAACACCAATACCAACAACACCCACCACAACCACCAACACCACCAACACCACAACCACCACCAACCCCAACCACATCGCCGAAGCCTTTCAGTCGCTTTTACCAGACTCCCCTTCATATTTTTGGAAAGAAAATGGCCGCGTCGCTTTTACCAGACTCCACTTTATGTATTTTTCCCTCCCCTCTCCCCTTCATTTTTTCTTCGGTTCCTTTCTTGCTTACCTACCTTTCGTGTTCCCCCTCTCAAGTACATGTATACACACATATATATATGTATGTATGTATACATACACAACTATACACATGCACGTGTACTGATATAATTTTAGCATGTAGCTCTGATGTGGCCGGGTGAACAGCAGACTACCGGAAAACATGTCTCGCTTCAGCATTAGGGCTCAGCCAGGTTGCTCGGAATATCGCCTCCCAGTGTCTCAGGACAAACCTGTGACTTTTAGATCCAATCAATGGTATGAAGATGTATGAGTCGTTCATATATGAAGGACCACCATTTCAACCTTGTGAAACATGAATCTTTCCAGGCGAAGAGTTTGGTCAATTGAAAGCACCCATGGTTCTTGGTTTCTCGGCCTTGCTGTCGGGCTGCAATTTGACACCCTTCCATTTGGTTTCCAAAATATCAGAGGAACGTGTTTGAAAAATAACAGCTCTTCCAAAGAAATCAACATTACATAACATATATATATATATTTACGTATATATAATATGATAGAATAATTAAAGCAACATGTGTAATAGTATGATTCTAGCAATTTCTTGCCCATATTCCAGGGCCGAACATATTCCATGCCAAAATAGCTGGGAAATTTCAGGGAATTGCGAAGACCCCTTTCAGGTGAAATTTGTATTTCATACAGTTTGCCAAGTATTCCTTTTCTTCTGGCACGTACGTTGTCGACTGCACATGTTCTTCCCCAAAGAAGATCCTTACTTTCAACAATTTCTGGAAATGTCATAATTAAAAATGTTGAGCTTTCCAAAAATGGATTAATAATGTTCTTATGGAAATTTGTCATCTACACTTTTCACGATCCCAAAACCCAATTCATAAGCTTTAAGCTTATGTTCTGGCACGCTTGGCTGGCCTTTCATCAGCAGCGCCATCCCCATCTTTCTTGACATCTTTGTGGCCCCGCAAAGAGCTCTGCACAACAGGATCTGGGAACACAAATCATCGACGATCCTGTTTTCTTCCGTGCAAAATAATTCCACCGATAGAGTACTATGCCACCCCTGGAGTGCGCTAATTTTCTGGAATGCGAAAATAAAACAGTATGCGTGGCCCCCTTCGACCTTCCCCATGAATCCAACACCAGTTTTTTCCATCATATACCAGAAAATTATCACATTTCACCCTGCTGAGTTTTTTTTTTCTTTTTTTTTTTTTTTTGCCAAAATTGCCTGGAATGCGATAGTATGTGCAACTACAGACGTCTCACGAAAAACCGCTACCTTTCCCATATTCCAGAAAACGTGATTCCAGGCGATTTTAGCCAAAAAAAAACGGAAAAAAAAAAAAGAAAAAAAAACGAAAAAAAAAAAACGTACGAAGATTTTATGGAGTACAGAGTGCGTGGATTTTATAGTATGTGCGCGTCCCTAGCTGTGGAGTGCGATGTCCCATGTGGAGTGCGAAGAATTTGTGGAATGCGAAGAATTCCGAGTATGCGTGGCTGGTATAGAGACCACATAGGGAAATTTCGCGGCCAGAACCAAAATTCCAATCCCAAAGCCGGCCCAAACTTCCAGGGGCACACCAGTGGGTTCTATTTTTCCAAGTTCACCTTGGGTGAGGTCCCGGGGAAGAAACTTGCTAATTTTTACTTAGCCAACCTTTAAAAACGTTACCTTTGACAACCCTGTCCTTCTTCTGTAGACAAATGAGGAAACTTCCTTATCAAAGCAGCCTTCAATTCATTCAACGTCCACAGCTCCTTTGGAACGACATAGGGGATAGAAAGCTGTGGAGGGGCATTCAATGGATTCGCCGTGGGCCAACTGTTCCCTCCAGATTGAGCTGAAATGCCTATCAAAGTAACATACCAAAACCCAGGTCTGGAGTACGATGAAAACATGGTATGCGAAGATTTTCTGAATATGGGAATGTTGCCTTTAGAATGATACAATCATAATAACAACACTAATAGTAATAGTACATAGCAACAACATGTTTAATTCTTAATAAACAATTAGTACTCTATATATATATATATATGTAGTATGATACTATAGTATGTATGTATAATATATATAATGTGTATATATATATAATGTGTATATATTGATATGATATATAAAGCTTCAAACGATGATCCAGGTGGTCTACATGAGTCGCAACGTGGAGCAGGTCTTCCTCTCGCGTCTCTCGGCGTGGTTAATGTGGGGTCATGGGCGATTTTTTCCCCTAGGGCAATGGAGGTTTCAGTGGAACAAGATCGTGGAATATGTGGAAAAACATGTGGAACACCATAGGGTTTATTTCTATGTGGACTTCATGGGTTTACTGGGAACAATATTCATCTGTTGGAATTAGACATGGAATATTTGAAAGAAATCAAGTGGAATTCTAGCGAAAGACAGTTGGGTCATTGTTTGATAACTTTAATCATAGCAACCCCCCAATTTCAGAAAGAACATTAATGTCCGACTTTAATACGTAATGACACATTATATGGTCATTGATTCTTTTGGGGAAGATTTGTCACTTTGGCAGTGGCTGCTAAACCTTGGTTAGTTGATTATTAGGGAATTATACTCCACAAAATATATGGTTAATGTATGGTTGATATATGGTTAATATATGGTTAATATGTGGTTAATATATGGTTAATATATGGTTACTATATGGTTAATATATGGTTGATATATGGTTAATATATGGTTAATGATGGTTAATGTATGGTTAATTTATGGTTAATATATGGTTAATATATGGTTAATCTATGGTTAATATATGGTTAATATATGGTTAATATATGATTAATATATGGTTGATATATGGTTGATATATGGTTGATATATGGTTAATATATGGTTGATATATGGTTAATATATGGTTAATATATGGTTAATATATGGTTCATATATGGTTAATATATGGTTAATATATGGTTAATATATGGTTCATATATGGTTAAAATATGGTTAATATATGGTTAATATGTGGTTGGTATGTGGTTAATATATTGTTTATATATGGTTAATGTATGGTCACTATATTGTTGATGTATGGTTAATATACGGTTAATATATGGTTAATATATGGTTAATATATGGTTAATATATGGTTGATATATGGTTGATATATGGTTAATATATGGTTGATATATGGTTAATATATGGTTAATATATGGTTAATATATGGTTCATATATGGTTAAAATATGGTTAATATATGGTTAATATGTGGTTGGTATGTGGTTAATATATTGTTTATATATGGTTAATGTATGGTTACTATATTGTTGATGTATGGTTAATATACGGTTAATATATTGTTAATATATGGTTAATATATGGTTAATATATTGTTGATATATGGTTAATATATGTTTAATGTATGGGTAATATATGGTTAATATATGGTTAATATATGGTTAATATATGGTTGATATATGGTTAATATATGGTTAATGATGGTCAATGTATGGTTAATTTATGGTTAATATATGGTTCATATATGGTTAATATATGGTTAATATATGGTTAATCTATGGTTAATATATGGTTAATATATGGTTAATATATGATTAATATATGGTTGATATATGGTTGATATATGGTTGATATATGGTTAATATATGGTTAATATATGGTTAATATATGGTTCATATATGGTTCATATATGGTTGATATATGGTTAATATATGGTTGCTATATGGTTAATATATGGTTAATATATGGTTAATATATGGTTAATATATGGTTAACGGTGATCAATGGTGATTCATATAATGGTTCTGTCCTTGTGGGATTCCATATTTTTTACTGTTTGCACATGCTAGGACACAATTCATCAAAGGATGCGTCAATAACACTCAACATTGAACCCTGCATAGGTTTCTACAGTTGGTGTTGTCAAAAGTATATATATATAATATGATTATATATATATATATGATTAATATGCGTATATATTTGTATATAGATATAGATAGTTAATCCCAACAAACGTGATGATGATCCCAGCTGACATTTTTGGTTGGGGCAGGCTACCACGGATCATTTTTTGGGTTGGAAGCACCAGCCATTTTTCTGGGTGCTGTGAGGTGAAAACTTGGAGGTTCACTTTGCCTTTGCGAGCCCTTTGACCTACAACCCCTTGTGCATCGATGGGGAACTGGAAGGTGCATCGAGCTCGGTGATGCGGCTGAGCGGCTGAGAACATTGGAGATGTTTCATTAGCCACTGGTACCTTAAAGGATGCTGTTTCAATGCGTTTTTGTTGGAGATAAGTTGGATGTAGTTGGATAAGGTCTTGAGGTTTCTGCAGTTGTGCTGTTTACAAATGAGGAGGTCCGAGTCGACTCATGTCCCGGGGATGATTGCAGTATCCCTATCCGTACTGAGGGATGGTTGGCAGAGGGATGAAGGGTGAAAAGCCTCTAACCAACTACTGCCGTGCAAATGTATGTAAGTTTTTCCTGCCCTGCACACTGTCGGCCTCTCGAGCACTCCAGCACGCTAAGAAAAGGAAATCAAGTGGATCCAACTTCCAAGTCCAGATTTCTAATAGAAAAGGCAGCAAGAAGATTCCAGACCTTATGGGCTTATGGGGATGATATATGGGCGTATGTGCCCAAAGAAACCCGACATGCGACCAAACCCGAAATCGCCACACATGGTGCTTTGTTTGGCTAATTATATAGTTGACACTCCTGGGCTTTCAAAAACAGGGTAGCAACAGCACGAAACTTAGAAACTGTTTTATGGAGAGAATCTTGAACCAACCTGGAAGTGTGACAAGTATGTAAGTATACCAATGTATATCAATGTATATTATACAATACTATATATATATGTATGTATATTCATGGCCGTGCATCAAAACGTATTGGGTCTTGAACAGGTGGTCGACATCCGTTCCATCCCCCGGCAGGCTTGCGCACGGCGGGTGTGTTGGTGCGGCTGACCTGCGCCACGCGAGAGAACTTGCGAGGTGCAGCTGGGAATTTGTGACCTCCATGGAGGATCTACGATAGATGTCCCAAAAAAGGATGACACCCATATTTAATATACTGTAATATAATATTACATTAAATGTATTGCATTATATTTTAAGCATGCATTATATTAAAGACTGTGTTCTATATATATATATGTATATTTATATTATATTATTTATAACATGTTATATTTGATTGTATTGTACTATATCATATTATATCTAATATCATTCATGTTTATTTATATATATATATATATATTATATTGTGCATAAATATATATGTGTTTCTACTGCACATATATAGTGTTATAATTTGTCTTGTATTATATTTTATATACTATGTACCAAATATAACATGTATCTATATACATATATTTTTTAAACAATATTGTGTAATATTAAATAATATGTCTTTTATTATATAGTATTATATGTTATTAAACATTATGTAATGTATATATATATTGTTTTAGATTTTTATTGTATTATATATATATCATTATGTAGTATATCTTATTACACATGATATTAAATATATCATATCTGATTACATTATATCATATTCATCAAGTCTATATTATATATCGGATATATTTGAATATTGTAGTTTGCATTTTACACACCATATAGTCTATATTCTATATGATACAACATATTGTTTCAGACTTTTGCATTATATTATATATATAATGTTAACTATAACATTTTATTTAATATATTTTGGTATTTTTTTACATTGCATTATATCATATTATATTATATAATATTATATCATATTATAATATATCATTTGTTTATATTGTAACAAATGTAATTAGTTGTTGTTTTTTCATATTTTTTATTTTATAGGATATATTGTTCATGTTTTTTGTTCTCCACCTGCCAGGTGAGGGTTGTTAGATTTTATCAGAGTTGTTCTTCTCCTTCTTCTCCTCCTCCTCCTTCTCCTCCACCACCTCTGCCTCCACTTCCATGTTCACTTCCGCCTTGCCAACTCTTCGCCAAGCTCTTCGCCAACTTCCGCACGCAGTGGGCACTGCTGGACCTCAACCTGGGACCGTCCGAGCTCAGTGAGCACCGCTGGACCTCAACCTCGGACCCTCCGAGCTCAGTGAGCACCGCTGGACCTCAACCTGGGACCCTCCGAGCTCAGTGAGCAAAGCTGGCCCTCAACGGCCAGATAGAATGCCAGAAAATATGCCAGATAAAGTGCCAGAACATATGCCAGATAGAATGCCAGATAGAATGCCAGAAGATATGTCAGATAGAATGCCAGAAGATATGTCAGATAGAATGCCAGAAGATATGCCAGATAGAATGCCAGAAGATATGCCAGATAGAATGCCAGAAGATATGCCAGAAGATATGCCAGATAGAATGCCAGAAGGTATGCCAGATAGAATGTCAGATAGAATGCCAGAAAGTATGCCAGATAAAGTGCCAGAATGTTTGCCAGAACATATGCCAGAAGATTTGCTAGATAGAATGCCAGATAGAATGTCAGAAGGTATGCCAGAAGATATGCCAGATAGAGTGCCAGAACATATTGCAGAAGATATGCCGGGTAGAATGCCAGAAGATATGCCAGATAGAATGCCAAAAGATATGCCAGATAAATGCCAGAAAATTTGCCAGTAACAAAACGTATAAATCTCATGGTGGGGATCACTCGAAGTAAAGTATGTTTTTGTATATGCTTTATACAATATAGACTATATATATGCCTTAAGGTCGCAAGCATTGCATTGATGCTTGCACATGTTTGCATTACACGAGTATGTTTTTTTTTCTAATATATATATACATATATATTATCAATTACATATGTATATATATATATACATACAACATCATACAACATCTAATTTATTTCTCTCTCTCTCTCTATATATACATATACAAGGGTGTTAAGCATTCAGATCTACATGTTATACACATATTGACTACAGACTTTCAATGCCACATAGATATTGACCTCCTCTCTCCTTTGCGCAGGTCTCAAGGTGCTTCTCAGTTCCTCCAGCGCCACCGTGTTGCACGTGAGTTGCCATACGGGTTTGATGCCACAAACCGCGGGCCGTGAGGCGAACGTTGAGACTTGTTGACCCACCTTAAAATGGGAGATGTTTTAAGCCGCGAACCAAAAAAACATGAATGAAACCAATGAAACCAATTAAATATGTGGATTTCACATGATTTCAATTTAAGCAACAAAATATGTGTGACCTGTTGCTTCAATCAACAAAATCTGGACGATAAAAACGTCATCATGACGTAAATTAATGTACTGTAATTGATTGGTCGGATTGCGGTATCTATTCCAATTCACGGCCAAATTTCCCCTTGGCCATGAAATATTAGATCCATGAACATAGATGATTTTGTTTTTAACCATTTATAGTTTGTTTTCAGCAAGAGAATCATGTCTTTAATGGTGCGATGTTTGATGACCCTTCAGTGGTCAAACATGGCAATGGAAATTTGATAAGGAAGTTAACATATGTATATAGTTTTGTAATAAGAGAATCAGCAACACAAAGATCGGGATTGTTTTTGCCAAGTCAGATTACATACCGGAGTCGAAGGGGTCACAGAATCCGGAACTCCCCAACCCCACCATAATCGGAGAAACAAAACCAGAGTTTTACAATCCAATCCTATGGTTTTCCTGCCCTGAGAGTTTTGCAATCCAACCCTATGGGTTTGCCCTGAAATTTCTCCCAAGTGGTTCATACTTTGGCTCCACATGGATAACGTCTTGTAAGTTGATAGTATGGCTTTGGGTCCATAGCCACATTTTTTTTGGGGGGGGATGAACATCCATAAATCCTAGTTATTTTGCTGGTGAACAGAAAGGTACCAGGGTGAACTGACTCATAACATCTCATAACCATGTGCCAGGCTATGCTTTCCCTTTGGTAATTTCATGTAGCTGTGGAAGCCATGGCCCATTTAGTTTAATCATTCACGAATTAGTAAAAAGGGTGGTTTCCATAGCTAACCTATGCTTATGTTAGATTGCCAGAGGGTATGCAACATGGTTGTTGGTTATCATTCCATGTTTGATCGCGTTTGATCGTTAAATCACAGGCCTACTGTACTAATAGTGTATAGAAAAAAACTACTAATAACGTATAAAATGCTACTAATACCGTTAATACAGCTAAGCTACTAATAGCGCATAAAAACGGTCACTCGGACCATGTGATGATTTTCCGGTCTGAAATCCAAACTCATCCTACATAAATGACAGTTACATGCTTGGACTGACCCAGTTGTTAATACGCTCTTAGTGACTCCAGCTTGTACGCTATTAGTGACCCAGTTTTAAACGCTCTTAGTCCACAGTCTCGTTAAATCACCATTATTATCCAATATTCCAACAAGCCCACTGCAAATTTATCTTTAGATTCCCATGTTTGATGGTTAAGTTCTCATTGTTGACGGTTAAAATCACATTTTTGATGGTTATATAAATCACAGTTTTTTTATGGTTAAATCACCATGTTTGGTTGTCAAACACACAATTTTGGATTGTTAAATCACAATGTTTGACTGTTAAATTACAATTTGTGATGGTTAGATCACCATTGCAATTAAGTTTAGCCCTGTGACTCGCAGGTCACTTCCATCTTGGAGGACTTCCGTGGCGGGGGACATCTTGTGTCGCCGGAGGCGGCCCTGGGGCGCCCAGTGACTGCGTAACTTCAATGGTTGGATATGATATATGTTGAAACATTATATGTACAGTAATTGTTCCCCACCTGCCAGGTGAGGGTCTCTGGATTTTAACAAAGGTGCAACTCCTTCCTCTCCTTCTTCCTCTCCTTCTTCCTCTCCTCCTTCCTCTCCTTCTTCCTCTCCTTCTTCCTCTCCTTCTTCCTCTCCTCCTTCCTCTCCTTCTTCCTCTCCTCCTTCCTCTCCTCCTTCCTCTCCTTCTTCCTCTCCTTCTTCCTCTCCTTCTTCCTCTCCTTCTTCCTCCCCTCCTTCCTCTCCTTCTTCCTCTCCTTCTTCCTCTCCTTCTTCCTCTCCTTCTTCCTCTCCTTCTTCCTCTCCTCCTTCCTCTCCTTCTTCCTCTCCTTCTTCCTCTCCTTCTTCCTCTCCTTCTTCCTCTCCTCCTTCCTCTCCTTCTTCCTCTCCTTCTTCCTCTCCTTCTTCCTCTCCTTCTTCCTCTCCTCCTTCCTCTCCTTCTTCCTCTCCTTCTTCATCTCCTCCTTCCTCTCCTTCTTCCTCTCCTCCTTCCTCTCCTCCTTCCTCTCCTTCTTCCTCTCCTTCTTCCTCTCCTTCTTCCTCTCCTTCTTCCGCTCCTTCTTCCTCTCCTCCTTCCTCTCCTTCTTCCTCTCCTTCTTCCTCTCCTTCTTCCTCTCCTTCTTCCTCTCCTTCTTCCTCTCCTCTTCTTCTTCGCCAGCTGCGGATGCTGTGGAGTGTGCCTTGACCTGAGTGCCAAATCCCGAGATCAGGAGTGTGTCTGGACCCGACAGCCATATCGTGAGCTCAGGAGGCTGTGGAGTGCGCCTGGACCCGATGCCATGTCGCGAGCGGGAGGCTGTGGAGTGGGCCTGGACCCGAACTCATGCCAGAGAGGATCCCAGACAGAATGCTAGATAGAAGAATGCCAGACAGAATGCCAGAATATATGTCAGAGAGAACGCCGGAAAGTATGCAATATATACATATATATGTCAGTTAGAATGCCAGAATGATTGCCAGAAAGAAAGTCAGAACTGCAGATAGAACGCCAGAAAGTATGTCAGAATAGGTGCCAGATAGAATGCCAGGTAGAATGTCAGAGCATATGCCAGAAAGAATGCCAAACTATGCATATATATATATGCCATATAATGCCATATATACTTCCAGATGGTATGCCAGAAACTAGGCCAGCATGGTGTGTCAGGGTGGGGATCACTCGAGGAAAGTTTTTTTTGGGGTTTGTTTCTGTTGTCGTTGCATACAGTATGTGATATGGTACCAAGAGCTTCTAGGTGCTGAGCAAATAGTTTCTTGCTTTAAACATGGGATACCAAGAGGTCGGTGCAGGCCCTAGACTATGGAGACACGAAGAAGAATCAGAGCCTATATGGATTGGAAGATGTTGACATGTTGATTCTTAAGCCATACCCATCCGGACTCGAACCGAACCACCCAACAACAGTTGCCTGACCACAAATGTCATAATCATGCCACAGTTCTGGGAGGTTTGTAGAGAACGCCTCAAAACACGCTAGGGGTGGATAGCCTTTGATCCACAGAGGAAGGCAGTTGTGACGTTCATCAATTCCCCAAGGTTATGATAATGTTGGTATAAGTATTGGACAGGTCTTCTCAGCGATTGAAACAACCATCCTTTGGCAATCAGTTCACGTTGTGGTCATGATTTTGGAATTTTTCAGCGATACTCAACGTGTCGACACGGATGATCCAATTGCACAAGTCTCAGCATGTTCATCTTGTGCAAACTGTGTGAAATGCCTTAAGCCTACTTCTAAAAAAATGTTAAAAAAAAAACGAAAACCAAAAACATAAAAATAAAACCCAATCCAAACCCCAATTAGAAAAAAAAATCTATCCAAACCTAAATTATAAAAATAAAAATAAAAAAAACAAATTATTTGTGTTCATTGTTTTTTTTTGTGTGTGTTTTTGTTCGTTTTTTTTTGGTGTTTTTATTCACCTTAGTTTTCGCATTTTTTAGTTTTTTTTCTTTCTCAGGTGACCTGATGACCGGGACCTTCGAACATGTAAAAAAAATGTGGAAAAAACGAAAAAAAACAAAAGAAAAACAACAAAAAATGAAAACACATAGATTGTTTTTGTTTTGTTTTTGTTTTTTTTCTAATTTAGGTTTGGATTGGGTTTTGTTTTTTGGGTTTTTCTTTCTAATTGAGGTTTGGATCGTTTTTTTTTTTGTTTTGTTTTTTTAGTTCATTTTTTTTATTTTTTTATAGAAGTTGCCTGTAAGCCGTGTCACAATGCAAACTTAAGGATAATGGATTAAATGATCAATTATCAAAACCAAAATTGTCCAAATATGTTGAGTTTTTTTCAGTCTACCTGGGATGATGATCGTATTTCTTTTTGTTGGATTTGTTGCTCAACTGCCAACCACTGTCGATCAACCAAATACATTTGGATCCTCCACTTTCCCAAGCCCCCAGCCCAATGGAAGCAACTCCAGTGGTATATGACTTGTCAGCTACTACCATAGTTGGCAATTGGATGAGTATAATTCATGTTAATCACTTGAATTAACCCATTGATTATATTTGCTTTCTTTAGCAGACAAGTAGGAATGTAGGTTTCCGACTGTGGTAGTGGTGTTCTTCAGATTGTATGGTTTGTTCATCGGCACTATAATAAATCTTAGGATGATTCTGATTTGTATAGGTCAGAATTTGGTAGTCTCGGTAGTGCCAAACGCATCCAACATCAGCAGTTCCCTAGGTCTTAAATGTTGACTCGCCCCCAAATGGCTCATAAAATGCGTATTTGTAGCATTATGTACAGCACCTGAACTATGATTTTGAATTAGCACTGACATCTACTAACAAATGTTAGAACCTGTACACATGGTATGTCATGTTTACCAGTTGACCCTTGTGATCCTTGTGTACCATATTAAATTTCGATGGATCAAAAACCATGTTCATGTTAGTAAAGCAATCTCACATATCTCACAAAAAACAACAGCCATATATGGAGGTTTCCGAGGCTACCCATGGCCCCTGATGGATCCCATGGATCCAGGCTTTCGCGGATCTGGTCATTGGTTCGGGCGAATCAGCGCCACAACTGCTGGTGGTTCTCAGTTGTCATTCCGAGGCGCAGCAGATGGGCCAAAGCCGGGCCAAGTGGATGGGCCTGGATGGGTCACTGGATGGCAATTTTTGGCCAAAGATTCCATGTTGGATTTCTTTTGGGGCTATCCTAAAGAAACATGACATAGCGAATAAAGAAAAATCATGAGAATCCGGCTCCATGCGTTTTATGCGAGTTCCAGCTAGATTCTGGTTCAAACATGTTCAAAATATGGTTTCAACATGTTTCAACCGCAGATAATAAAACGAGCTGGTGTCTCCTGCAGCTTCTATTTCTTTTGCGATAAGTGGGGTTACTGACATACTGTCAATCTCAAGTTTCAACAAGAATGCAGAGTATCTGAGATTGGCCTTGGAGGTCTAAGATGGTCCAAAGCTGTGGGGTTGCCCGCTTGCTATGTGTTGAAAAAAATGTTGGCTTGCATTATATATATATATATATATTCAGTCAAGAAACCATCTTGTCCATTTCTATGATTTGTATGCGCTGAATGCATTTAGCTTTCAAATGCTGATGTGCGCAGGAAATATCATGAGATTCTCCACAGTGACTGGAGCATCAAGAATGGCTAACGCCAACGACTGAATTGCTAAGCCATGGTTTCAGTGCAGAAGTGCAGGGAAACTGCTGAAACCAGCTATGGCTCGCATGAATATCTGGCTCCATCCGCAAGAAGAGCATGGCGCTGATCAAATTTCGGGGCAAGACATGGCGACAGTTCAGTGAGTTATGTGCCATGACCTTGCCATGTATGGCTCAGGGCAACATAGATCTGGCTGGTGAAAAGACACCATTTAGCCCCCCCAATGTCTATTTGATAATCCGACACCATTTTTGGTACATGATGAATCATGATGATATCAATGATATCTGCATGGTATCAGCATGGTATCAAGCTGAAAGCTCTCTTTTCAGATACCACTACTCTATGGATTAGTCATATATAGTCATATCATATCGTGTTTCATGGGTCAAAACATAAGGCCCCAACATTCTGTTGGATGATGTTGGTCAGCTTTTTCGTAGTGAATCATCATGTTTTAGGCTACAAGCGCACTTAAAGACTTGCCGACTGGCGTAGACTGGTTTTTGGCATCCAAGATTGTGGCAGTATGTTGCTGTCAGTCATGATGCACGATGGTATCTCCATTGAAACACCTATAAAAATGGATTGAAACCACAACTGAAACGTTTAAAGCCATAGCCATACCCATGATGCGTCCATGTCCACCCATGTTTGCCGGTAAAAGGATTGACCAATTCCAATGATTTTCCACACTATCATTGATGATGTGCCAGGTTGTGTCGATTGGTATTCCAGAGTTTGCAGGCAAATACACATATCTTATTATATATACGATTATATACGCATATGCATATATTGTACAACCTAATTTAATTCATATATTTCAGATATGCACATTATTCCTGGCGCCCGCTCCCCCCATGACCCGCAACTATGGATATAGGATACATGTGTATATATATATACACGTACACCTCGTGTAAAAGAATATACAAACATCCATACGTACGTACCCATATACATAGACATACATAGACAGATACATAGACACAGATACATAGATACATAATAGATAACATGGTCTGCACACATCCATGATATCCCAAGCTGTTCCAAAACTGATCGAAAGTCGACGCGCCAGGCTTTCGCCTTAACTTCCTTGGCACCTTGGACTTGGCATTCACGGCTTCACCGAGTGATGCAGCGGTCATGGCAGCTGAAAATCTCTCTTCAGTGGTCTTTAATCTAAAAGAGAATATGGACATATATAGAAGTTCCAATTGTGAGCAAAACATCATTTGTTGATTTAATCTAAAGCATATGAACTACGGTTCTTGATATGAACTATTTTTTGCATGGTATCACTAATCAGATATTCTTGGACTTGGCATTTTTCCTTGACATATATAAATGTGGAGATATTATACCCAGCTGAAAAGAACAACTTCTTTGCATGGCATCGAATAGATCGGCCATAGCACTGGATTTCGCCAAGCCACAACAGTGGTCCGTCACTGGATTTTACCGCTGAGGTGATAGAGATAGCCACTCTGATGGACAATCCCCTCTCATAAAGAAACCGGCGTTGATATCTGATCCTGCGGATTATAGAGATCATAACTATAACTGGATCTTTCTCATGAGGATTCATATTATATTTTTCGCAGGATTCCTGCAATGAGTGGCGATTTGCCAACAAAAAAGGTTACTGAGGTTAATTACTGTGCACATCCTGGCCAAGATGTGCAAATTACTCTCTGAATGATGGAATATGCAACCTTGTTGCCTAGGTTTCAATGGCTATATATGCAGAATTGATGGACATGCTGTACGCATGATGTGGAATTCACTGTTCTTTGCAAACTACTGTGGCGTATGCCAGTCACTTTCCATATGTACATATATATATATACATCTGAAGACGTCTCTAGATAGATGCGTGTTTGATTGTATTTGCATATCGACCATTTTTTAAGTTGCATTCAATTCAGTCAGAAGTGTGTATGCAGATGCACTGGAAGCCATATGACACTCATTGTTAGGAAAACTGAACTTCGAGGCTTCACCATCCAAAGCGGGGGTCATCCGTTTTTTTTTTTAATATATATATATATTTAAATATATATATATATATAAATATATAAATATATATATATAAATAAATATATATATATATTTTTGTTAGTCATATCCATTAGCTAATATTGCTGTTACATAGTATGAATGGCTAAAAGATCTTCATTAAATTAAATATCATCCGACATCCGATTGGAAGGAGACATATTTCATGCTATGCTTTAGCAGCTCTCAAAAAAATGGAGAAGTGAAATCCAATCCAATTCTGCAAAGGTGGTGAAAAATTGTTCTATGTTTTCTTGTCTTACTATATACTCGTATATATATATACATTATATATTGCAACATACCACTGATCCTTTAAGAACCCAAAAACATGTGTAGAAGTCCCAAAAGAATGAGTATATTACTCCTTCTTCCTATGTACTTGGACCGGACCAACATCTATACATACACAGATGGTTCATAGTACATACAATGCAGGGGCCCCCAGTTATGTGTTTTGGTTTATAAATCTCATTAAGTATAGTTGTAAGTGCCACACATCATACTTCTTGGAGTTATGTTCATCAACTTAGCTATGAACAATGAATTATAAATCCATACCACTCCCCATTTTAGTCGTAATTAGATTTCAATGATTTTCAATGTAAATGTAAACCCACATAAATCCAGATAAATCCACATAAATCCACAAGAGTTCACATAAATCCAATACAGAAGCCGTAGCCCTGCCCTCTACCCCCTCGGGTTTCTCCGCCTTTTTAGGAGCGTGGCGTCAAGCGCGCTGTGGCCGTGCGCGCGGAGAGTTCGCTGTTGGACCACGCAGCACGGGACTTCACCGTTACCTTCTATGCTGAGTTTCTTGGATAAGGGAACACTTTGATATCCGAATAAATAGTCAACAATAATGTAAACAAATATTTTATAATCAATTATATAATACTTATAAGACATATATAAGAACATATAAGAAGACTTTGAACCCCCGAATCAATAGATATAAATAGTAATGTTCATAATGTATGATATAATACAAGACAATTTTCATACCCCAATACTTTGTTTATAATAGTTCATCATGGACGAAACACAGGGTATAATGTGGACTTTGGTCATCTCTGGTCCGTTGATTTGAGGAAAATCACCATGTCTCAGGTTTCAGGTAAATCATCAGTTTTTTTTTGTATTAATCATTAACATCATGTTATTTTACGTATAAAAATGCATGATCTATTTTCATGGGCCATTTTCCGTAGCCATGTTGAGCCAGAGTAGCCTGCTTCATCCACCAGGGGATTGAACCTATAAAAAGTTGGGTCTTAGCCAGTTGAAAAATGGGGAGGTAACGAAAAAAACAATGGAGGTTGAAACAACAAAATTTGGGTATTGAACATCACTGAAGCATCAACCATGGGACCCGGGAGAGTTTCCAGATTTGGTGTTGCGGAGAATCGACAGGAAAAGTAGTGCTTTTGCCAGCCTTGTTTTCACAGCTTTCCTGATTCCTGTGAATTGTCACTTACGAATACTTATATACGTCAATTCGGGGCAAAACATGACAACATGACGTAGGGATGTGTCAAGAGTCAAAACCAATCATCCATTATATCTTTGGGCATGAAAAATCATCAACGCGCTCTCTTGATGTTAGTGAGGGCACCATTTTTTTTTTGATGTCTAGCCCAATATCGTCAGGGACGAACCAACAGACAACTTGTATGACCACCGACAAAAATCAACAAAACCAGAGATTTCACCGAACCATACTGGGAAATCAATCAACAACTGTGAATACGCGGGCCCGGGCAAATCCCAACCAAAATCCATAGTGTAACAACATGTAACACTTAGATCGATCATGAATTTGTATTGAAATGTCACTTCGTTCCAGGGTTCCTGGACCCTGAGGTTGCGCACACATTGGAACGTGCAGCGTGCCTTCCATATCGCCCTGGAAACGATGAGGGCCTCAAGGTGGGGTTAAGCAACAGAAATGGGGGAAAAACATGAGGGTTTAACTGTTTAACTGACAGAAATGTTGGTTTTACGAATGGAAAATAATGGTTTAAGAACTAGAAATGGTGGTTCAACTAGCAGAAATGGTGGTTTAACAAACCGGAATGATGGTTCAAACATACAAACATTGTAATCTAATCTACCAAATGGTTTAAGTACCCTCTTGTAAACGAACATATACGAACATACTGTAGCTGTGGAACATTACCATGTTTATATAATAGGTAAATCATCATAAACCATCTTTAATATTATCATATATTTTCCATAGCTATGTTAGTCATTACCAGAGGATAGCAGAAGCTTTTTTTTAACCCATCCTGGGGATACAACAGAGCACCGTGCTCTAGCACAGGAGGGTTACCCAATCAATCCAGGGAGATCACTGTAGCTGTCGTGTTCAGGGAACCTGGAGTTGCCGATGAAGCAGAGAAGTTGGTTCTTCTTCCAGAGGCTCACCGCTTAGCGGAGCGTTGCCCCGTTGTTCCCCCACCGAAGGTGGGTGGCTCACCGTCACTGTCACGTTGGGGTTTCATGGGCCTTGGCCGATTCTGTCAGACTCTCCATGTTGTTTCTAAAGTGGTGCCTGGGTATGGGAAAGTATATAATCTAGAAGTTGATGAATCGCGATAAATCTGTATACCATTTTATTGAGATGATGTGCCTATAAAGACTGGGGATTCCGACTTCTATGTCAGTTTGCAGAAAATAGTCGACATGTTGAATATTTTGCACCTTTGGAGGATGGACAAGTTCAGCAGATGTTTTCAAGGGGCATACAGCACCCACAATAGCGCTTTTAACAGACAGCAGGTAATAATTTGAAGCCAAACTGGTTGGCGTTTTGATCTGTTGAATCCACTGACTTTCATCGACATCGCCCCAGGGTGCTCACGAGTTTGAATTGGGAGAAGCCTACGTCTTAGGTCGCTTGGTCGATTTGTGGCAAGGAATATTGCATCAAAGTGCCCCCAACTGTGATGTTTGTTCATCTTTCCACCATGAACTAGTTCGATTTAGATCAACCATGAAGCCTTTAGCCCTATAGTGAATATATGTGTGAAATAAAGAGCTAACTAAAGAGGGCACCACTTTGTAAGGACATCCCTTCCTTTTGCCTGGCCATACTGACGAAAGCAAGTGTGTCCAGTTTCCATCGCTATACATAGAGTATATATAATATATACTCTGCGAAGTTGGGCTCCATAGTTAACTAAATTGCCTTATGTGATAATATATAACATGATATACAGAGACACAGTAAGTACAACAAGCCAAGACCGGCTTCGCCAAGGTCTGCAGGAGGAGCGGAACTCGAAACTTGGAACGGGCTCGTACGCCATTAGGATATGGCAAATGTGTCAATGTATCTTTGTGTAGCAATACAATGTACTATATATATATAATACGTATGTACATTAGTAATACTAGAGCCTCTGTATATATATATATATTATAATATATATATATATATATATATATATATATTAGTGACTATTCTAAAGGCAACATTCCCATATTCAGAAAATCTTCGCATACCATGTTTTCATCGTACTCCAGACCTGGGTTTTGGTATGTTACTTTGATAGGCATTTCAGCTCAATCTGGAGGGAACAGTTGGCCCACGGCGAATCCATTGAATGCCCCTCCACAGCTTTCTATCCCCTATGTCGTTCCAAAGGAGCTGTGGACGTTGAATGAATTGAAGGCTGCTTTGATAAGGAAGTTTCCTCATTTGTCTACAGAAGAAGGACAGGGTTGTCAAAGGTAACGTTTTTAAAGGTTGGCTAAGTAAAAATTAGCAAGTTTCTTCCCCGGGACCTCACCCAAGGTGAACTTGGAAAAATAGAACCCACTGGTGTGCCCCTGGAAGTTTGGGCCGGCTTTGGGATTGGAATTTTGGTTCTGGCCGCGAAATTTCCCTATGTGGTCTCTATACCAGCCACGCATACTCGGAATGATTCTTCGCATTCCACAAATTCTTCGCACTCCACATGGGACATCGCACTCCACAGCTAGGGACGCGCACATACTATAAAATCCACGCACTCTGCAAGATCTTCGCACTCCATAAAATCTTCGTACTCGGTAATTTTTCGTTTTTTTCGTTTTTCTTTTTTTTTTTCGTTTTTTTTTTGGCTAAAATCGCCTGGAATCACGTTTTCTGGAATATGGGAAAGGTAGCGGTTTTTCGTGAGACGTCTGTAGTTGCACATACTATCGCATTCCAGGCAATTTTGGCCAAAAAAGAAAAAAAAAGCTCAGCAGGGTGAAATGTGATAATTTTCTGGTATATGATGGAAAAAACTGGTGTTGGATTCATGGGGAAGGTCGAAGGGGGCCACGCATACTGTTTTATTTTCGCATTCCAGAAAATTAGCGCACTCCAGGGGTGGCATCGTACTCTATCGGTGGAATTATTTTGCACGGAAGAAAACAGGATCGTCGATGATTTGTGTTCCCAGATCCTGTTGTGCAGAGCTCTTTGCGGGGCCACAAAGATGTCAAGAAAGATGGGGATGGCGCTGCTGATGAAAGGCCAGCCAAGCGTGCCAGAACATAAGCTTAAAGCTTATGAATTGGGTTTTGGGATCGTGAAAAGTGTAGATGACAAATTTCCATAAGAACATTATTAATCCATTTTTGGAAAGCTCAACATTTTTAATTATGACATTTCCAGAAATTGTTGAAAGTAAGGATCTTCTTTGGGGAAGAACGTGTGCAGTCGACAACGCACGTGCCAGAAGAAAAGGAATACTTGGCAAACTGTATGAAATACAAATTTCACCTGAAAGGGGTCTTCGCAATTCCCTGAAATTTCCCAGCTATTTTGGCATGGAATATGTTCGGCCCTGGAATATGGGCAAGAAATTGCTAGAACTATATAAATGTTCTTTCAGATGGCCTTTGCATGCCTATGCCATTCCAACCAAGTAACCAAAGAACATGCATTAAACAAAGAGGCATGGCCATACAGCTTCATTGTTGCACAAGTATGGTTTCATTTTTTGATTTTCACGAGTTTAGTGGTAACCCACAAACAACTTAGGTGCCTTCCTAAGATTTTTTTTACCCCAAACAACCGATGCATTCTTGATGTGGTGATGTGCCAAGATTTCGACACTGATGAACATTCGCAGGAACTGCCGGCTGAACTGGACAAAACCATTGCGGTCACTGGCTTTTTCCGAAGGGTCGTGCTGAGGTCAAGGGAAAGTCCAAAAGGTGGGGATCAGACATAGTACAGCGAGCCTCAGGGTCCCAAGTCTCGTAAGTTACCTGCCAGTGACCAAAATATGGATAGTGCCAGCAAAAAACGGAGGGCTAACCAAGAAAATCAATCATTGAAGCTGACCAATTTAGAATTTTGCTCCGCAAAATAGCAGCGAATTCTAGCCAGCAGCAGGGCGGAACTGGCCCTCACCTCTCTACGCGCAGCCACTACACTACAACTTGTTTATCTCCTCTAGATTGCCCACGTATCACGTCTCTTCAAGCGTACTTTGAGGGTTAATAGATAAGATTAAGGGTAACTGGGAACATGTATAAATAAATAAATAGATAGATAGTGGTATATATATATATACACTGTATATATAATTATATAATTTAGCAGATGACAGATACAGTACATGTTGAATGACATTTATGCATGTAAGTGCATGCACGTACCAATTCCCAAGTAGCCCAAGTAGGATTTCCCATGAATTCCATCATTGTTTGGTTTCACTTCTCCACATTCAGGGAGCACATGGAACGACATGTGTATAATATTATCAGGGTAAGATGATAATGTAGTATCGTGACATGATCTAATGTCATCTTATCATCACTTATCATGTTTCCCAGATCTTCTCTGCATATAGCCTCCTGTGTTTTTTCAGTTCGAAGTGGAGTTTCCCCACCATGAATGTAGATGAGATTTTTCTAGAGTTTCCCAATAGGTCTTCCACATTGTTCTGTAGGTATACCCCGGGGCCACTAAGGTGCGGGTGCCTTTTGACGCTGGAGAGGTGCGCGTCAGCGAAGTCGGCGAAGCCCCATGGGATCATCATTGGATTGGTTTAAGCAAAGAAATACAGGACCCCATATATATTTCAATGGAAAATATCCATTCCGGTTTAGATTTTCCCAAGAATCCAGTGAGGATTAATCAATAACAGAATTGAATTCAAGTTAAAATCATGGTTAAAATCATGGAACATCCACAACATAAATCGTAGATAAACTGATTGAATTGTTCATTGCCAGCTCAGACTAAGTCAGAGGAAAATTATGGAGAACGTCGTGCAATTGCAAAAAACAAAGTGATTTGTCCGCCCAGCTTTGAGCACCAGAGGGTATAACAGATGAAGTTTGGCCATCAAGAAAAATGGGAACATGACGCAACAAGAGGAGGGATCTTAAATCAAGACTATCCGACCAACAATTGGCGATGGATACCCAGTACCAACCATCGTACCATAGCAACAATATGGAAGGAGGGCAGAGATACAATGCTTACACATCAGAGATGACCAACAAAGATTGAGCATTACCAACAGAGATGGTACCCTCTGGTAAACTAACATAGCTATGGAAAATCACCATTTTTAATGGAAAATTCCACTTTAAATGGTCATTTTCAATAGCTATGTTAGTTTACCAGAGGGTACCCACAGCTATGAGCAACACAAGCAACCATGGCATTCCATCCAACACTGGGTTACAGGCAACCACTACAGAGACTCAACCAACCAGCGAAGTCACGTATCCGTTAAGCAATGAACACCACAGTGTGATTTAAAGACACGGTTCTAGGAGAATCATCCAATCATCCAACAAAACGTACCTGACTTGTCGTGGTTTGCTATGAATGTTTGCAACCCGGTGGAAAATTGCTCCTAGGAATTAAAAGGTTGGATTTGGAACCCCTAAAAATGGCTTGAACTTGTGCATAAAATGCCGAAACGCTATTTGACCCAACCCCGTGTTCGTTTGTAGCATGCTTTTGTGAAAGGTTCGGCTGAAAAAGAGAACACATCATTTTCAGGTTTTATTTTAGAAGAAAACTCAGAAAACTGGCGCCATCCCAATTTTCGTTGGGAATCCCATCGTCACGGCCAGGAGCCAGCGAACGTCGTGAGTTCGCTCTTCGATCCCCGCAGTTTGGAACGCTTATGCGACCTCCCATGCCTCTCGAGGGGGAGGTTCCTTGGCGGGTTTGATAAGGTGGCTTGGTAAAGTCGCAGTGACATAGGACTTTGGAACATCAAAAACACATCTGGTTGGTGGCTTCATATGGTTGTTTGCTAATGACTTAAATCGTGAAGTTATTGTTGATTGGGGAGTGTATAATATTCCTACTTCTAGGATCTGGATGAATCGAATCCTCCGTTCATCAAGCAGCATTTACTGGATTTTCACCTGCAAACCTCGGATGATGAAACTTCTTCACGGTGACCACCGGCTGGCAACAGAGTGGATCCTTCAATGAAGTCAAGTTGAGGTCCATTCTTGCAACCTGGTTTTTTCCATTACATCCGAACTGTAAAAGTAGGTCTACAATGTGGTTCCGAACCAGGAACACCAACTAGAAACAAGGCCAAGCTTCCGAATCCAAAAACAATTAGAACCAAAGGTAGAACCAAAGGTAGAACCGAAGGTAGACCCAAACAGTTCGGGACGAAGCCGTACTCCAAATCCCTCTTAAACGAACCGCTGAGGTTTGTGAGTCAAGCTCTAGCAGGCTGATCGGCTTTTCTGGGGTCAAGTCACTTGGGGACCCAGAAATGGCTGTATATGACCACAGATATGTCCAGTTTAAACCATGTTTTTGTTGGGGCTGATGAGTTGGATCCATAGCCAGTATAAATAAATATATATATATATATATATTTATGTGGTTGGTGGTTTGGAACTTTTTTTTGTCCATAATATATGGGATAATCCTTCCCATTGACTAATATGTTTCAAGATGGTTGAAACCATCAACCAGATATATATATATTGATATGTATATATATAATATACATATATCTAGCTTCTGACATTTCCTGAAGTTGCTTGTAATACAAAGTAGCAACATCTTTGGCCATGCTCTTTGCTGATCTTCACGACTGAGGATCCAGGTCAGATACGATTACATATCTACAGTTTTAGCCCTTGGCACTTCGAAGTGGCTGAAAAAAAAACATCATTCAAGTTACATGTTACATTTGTAACCTGAAGTTATAGGAGATTATATACAGGAGTTATATATAATCCCCCCATTTACAACTCGTAATTAATTGTACGACATGAAGTAAGTATTGCCAACAAATAAGTTACAATGACCTCATTGCGATGTCACTTGAATGATTTGTAGCATTGGGACAATTATCCCCAAATGGCCTTAATCAGTTCATGGTATTTTGGACAACTATCCCCAAATGGCCTTAATTAGTTCATGGTATTTTGCAATAGATCCCCTTATATACATGCGTACAATATGTTTGTTGTAAATTGGTTGGCTGTCAGATCCCCGGCTTCAATTGGTGACCCATCACATTGCGCTTCACTTGTTGGTGTACTCAGATTCTCAAGATGCCGATCGAACCTAAACAAACTGCTACATACCTACGCCTTCTTGGTGCTCCCTTTTGTTGGTTTCTGTTTGGAAAAAACAATCACGTGTAATGTAATGTATGTTAGCCATTGCTGAAAAAACACGCTGCCACCTTCAAGAAACGTTCTTGCTCCAAATGATCAAGAATAGCCTGGTTGAAAGGCAGTGATGCCACAGCTGATCAATTGAACGCAAAATGGTTGTGAGCCCTTGAATTGCAACCTTTCGTACATTCGGGTGTAATTTGGACATCAACATAAACCACACAAAGCTATCCAAAACTGGGGTATGGGCAAAAACGCAATTGTATCGAGAAGAAACGCTTTTTGTCTCAGGAAAAAAACGCCTTTAAGTATTTGTTGAACGCGCCATCACCGAGATTATTGTGCCACGAGGCCCATCAACAAGCGTTTCAGCTTAGAGCTGTTGTGGGAGACGTCATCTATGTCCACCCAAAACACTGGAATTTGGATTTCCTTGCGGGATGGGACAGTGCTCAAAACGAGCAATGTATGTGGATGACCAAAATATAGAAAGTTAAGAAATATAAAACGAGAGTAGAGTTGAAGATAAGTAGGCTTAAAAAAGCTGTTCTGACAGGAAAAGCAGAAATCAGTAACATGCGAGAATCGCTAGGTATATGTCCCTTCTGTTGGGGACCTCCTTTACCATGTAGCAATAAAGGCATCAAGTATGATCAAGCTGTTCTTACAGTATACCTAGATGTGCCATTGTTTTTAATATGCGTTTTCTCATTGGGTGGTTTGTAAATGGATTATTAAGTTGTGGGGATGTCGTGGATTATTTATATTATTATATTATTATATGTTATTATACAGTTACTCATCAACCAATGAGGTAATACCACGACACATCCAAGAACTTTTCTGCATGCAATTCATTGGATTGCTGTTGAAAAAAGTAACAATGACAGTGGGTGGGTAAACAAAAAACTGCTTTGCTGTGTAGATGTTCCCTTTTTTTCTCAATCCCAGGACCTATAGATCATCAGATCCCATCAGGCCTCCCATCCGATCCCATTCATCCGCCGTCCTTGGAGGCTTCTCCAACTACCGAGTTTTGAAGGTTTCTGGGGATGCTGGTGATCTGCAGGCGAAAGCCCGAAACAGAGCCCCATACAGTAGCTCCTGTTGGTCACACGTGAATGGCGCGATATCTATCTGTATGTTTGTTTGTCTTATCTATCTATCAATCTAATCTAATCTAATCTTTAATCTAATCTAATCTACTCTTTTCTTTTTTTTCTAATCTAATCTAATCTAATCTATCTATCTATCTATTTGTTTATCTATCTACCTATCTATCTATAGATAGATATATATATATATATATAAGGCACTCTATTCTCTTTGTTCTAATCTTCCAAAGTGTGGTTGCTTTAAAGTGTATTGATATGTTACAGTGGAGTCTTCTTTGCCATGTCTTGACCCTCAGGACTTTGCCGCTGTGCTGGCTCGCTTCGCATGCTTTCCCGGTGGCAGGCCGCTGGTCACACTGCTTTCCGAATCTCCACGTGTGTTCCACATTTCAGAGTGTTCTTGGCTTAACTCCCATGTTAGATAGTTATCAGAGCCGTTTTTCTTATCCTGATGTTTCCAGATAAACATCCGGTGGATGTTTTGCAAGACAACTTCATCGATGTTGCGAAATACATGATATATATATAAATATGTCATTTAAAATCATTTAAGCATATGATGGAAGTTTCCTAAAATAGGCGTACCCCCAAATCATCCCTTTTGATAGGATTTCCATTATAAATCATCCGCTTATTGGGGTACCTCTATTTTAGGAAACCGCCATATATATATATACATAGCTGCGGCTCAAAATATTATAGACCCCATCCAGAAACCCACAATTCATCATCTCAAAGGGGCCCAGCTCATGGCAGGCTCGATGTTAACATCTACTGGAGAGTGTATGATCCATACCTTTGATCCATACCTGGTTTCATGACGATGGGTCAAAACCCTGGTACCTAGTGAACCCCAAAATAGCTGGTAAATGGATGTTCATCCCACTAAAAATGTATCTATAGGCATTGACCCATACCCAAATGACAAGTTGAACTGATACATAAAGGCCACTGTAGTAGACCTCACGGACGGTCCGGATCCAACCTCTGATACATAAATCACTCGTTCCATACGCCCGGATCACCTCGAAATGATCCATGCATTTTCTTTTTGAGCCACAACCCAAATCTACACATAATATATGATACACCCACCAACTAGGTAAAAAAAAAATGCGTGGTATCTAAGACCGATCCTCTGATGCAATGTCTATATATATATATCTAATATATATATAGATATCTAATATATATATAATATATATAATATATATATATAATATATATATATATAATCAATGAAATCAATGCATAATATACGAGCCATCGAGCTGATGTTCCAAAATTCTGGATACATTCTACCCTGTGGTTATTTAACAATCACCATGTTTAAAACATTTTAAAACGTTAAATCATTGTTTTTATCATCGAGCCCGTATTTTCATGGGCCATTTTTCATAGCTATGGAAAGCCATAAAACTAACCATGGGTTTCTTGTCAAATACACGAGTGACTCATTTTCATGGGCCATTTCCATAGATCCGGAACTATAGTAAAACCAGATGTTTCACATTAAAACCAGATGTTCCATACCATCTGGTAAACTAACATAGCAATGGAAAATCACCCTTTTTAATGGGTAAATCAACTATAAATGACCATTTTCAATAGCTACGTTTGTTTACCAGAGGGTAGTTCACCAGATGTTTGTACCTTGTTCAGTTCTGTATTTGATAAGACAACCACGGCAAAAAAAACACGGAGCAGTGGATAGCCTGAGGCTCTTCCCAGGCGGCGCCTTGGTGGTGAAAGCTCCCGAGGCGCGGCTGATGGGGCATCCGTAATCGTAATATATAGATTTAATATATGTTTATATATATGTATATATTATATGCGTATAAATATATATATATATATTACTATATTACTATATAACTGTATTACTATTTTACTATATATATATATATATTGATATGGATATAGGTGATATAATGGTGATGTATGAAATTCCACTGTAGATCATATCACCATCATGTTCCAAGGGAAACCAGGGGTTTTTGTCACCTCTATGTTAGTTTACCCTAGGGTATATGTGGTGGATACGGATATAAATGATATGATAGTAATTTGCTGTTAATTATTATGATAGGACATATATATATATATATGAATGTATATATATATGTAGATCTACCGGCCCAAGAAGTAGATTTGTGAGGTTTCCAAGTGGTCGTAAAGCTGTGGGAAACCGACAAAGATGCAACAATTTCACATTTACCACATGTTGGTCGGATTTTTCCAAACTATGCATCTTGTTGGGGTTGCTACTAACGTCGGATTATGTCAACGAGGTAAACTGAATCATTCCAACTAACAAGTTTCAATTGTTGTTCAACCCGTCCAATTGGGACATGGGTAGTTATAGCTTTGGGAATTCACCATGTTGAAGAGGTAAATCATCTACTTTCATGGATCATGTTTCATAGCTATGTTAAACTCATGGAGGGCATCACATGTTTAAACAACAAATACCCTCCATGAGTTTAACATATGTGATACCCTCCATGAGTGCTATGCCATATCATATGTTTAACATATGTGATACCCTACATGGTATAACAAACAATAACATCTGTGCTATGCCATGATGCCATCGTGCTACTCCCCACCTCTGTATGCAATTCGATGTTATGCAATGAAATGGAAGTCGCTGCAATGTAATGTATGTAACGGTATTATGTATATATACACATTATATGTGATTTGTTTATTCATGTCTTTTTTTAATTACATACATGCATGCTGCATGCATGCATGCATGCATGCATGCATGCAGAATTGGGACGGTTATAACACAAACTTACATTTTGAGAAATGTGGCTACACTAACAACAAGATGGACTGACATATTTCCAAAGTGGCAAAACCATCAGTTTTTTTGATGCGTCGAAGAACAACAAATACCGAAGCATCCCAGAATTGGTTGAAGAAAAAACACACAGGAAAGTCAAATGAATTTGATTGTAAATCGTAAACAACATTATTCTGACCCAACCATTTCCCTCAATCCATGGAAATCTCATGAAGTAGTTGGTTTCATAGAATTGGATGATGGGCAAATTTACAGGAAACCCCTATATTTGGGTAAAAACCATGGTTTCCGGTGAAGATTTTCCCGAAAAAAACCAGTCCATTGATGGTTTCTCCATCATCGCACATGGAAAAAATCCTTCACCATCTCCAGGAAGATCGGGATGCCCGGGATGTCTTGTCTCAGCAGCAGATGTGTGACATTTTCTTGCCCCTCATGAGGCACGGGGAAAGCGACGCTATGACGCTATGATCCACTGGATTCCACTGGGTAAATTATAACGACCTCACTGCGACCGAGCCCTGGAAAACATAGTTAGTAAGGGAAATCATCCCCAAATGGCCCAACAATTCAAGTTAGTGAAATATTTTGATTTACCCAGATTTATCATACTGGTTAGTTGAGTTTATGGTTGATTGTTTCGTTGTCAAGCATATTTGCGATGGTGATCCCCAATGATATTTCAGAGACGGGATTGAACCATCAGCCAATACAAAGTTCTCCACATAGATTGTATATGTGGAAGGTATGTATACGTATAATTCATAGATGTATACATGCACCTGTTTTCTGCAGGTAGATTAGATGTAGTTTGAAATTGACAATACGCCTCAATCAAACATGTCATGGTCTTTCAGCTTGAATGCCTTAAGGTTTGAATGTGTTTTTACTTAGACTATGCATCCCCAAAACCTTGATCACGGAGTTGGAGAGTGTCCCAATCACACACCATTTCTCCTTGGTTGCAGATAACAATGATATTCCAAACTGAATTTACCCATTGCTATATTTAAATGTACTGGAGTCCAGTCTTCACCAGTTTGGTGTAACAACGGCAATTGATGCAGAGAAATGCAACTCAACTTGGGTGACAATACCCCGATTGTTGGTTTAATGTCTTGCATTTTTACAATGTTTGTTAGTATAGATGAGACATCATGAAACCATGGTTTCATGGGGGTAAAACATGGTAAAATAAACCAGCCATGACTGGAAATGGTAACCATACCACCTATGGTGAAATCGGAGGTGACCCCCCATGGGGATGCTTGCTAATGGCCAGGCTTACCGGCTGTTGAAGTTGCCACTGATTTGGACCCCAAAAACCATGCATGGACAAAAAAAATGCCATTTGGGGTCATTTTGGAACAGGTCTATACTATTCTATACTATCCGCTTCAAATCCCAATCAACTGATTGGTCAGTGAACACCAACTGGTCAAACTTGGTACCCCGAAAATCTCTGGCGTTTGCAAACGTGGACGACAATCACTACGTGGGTAGAATACGGCGCAAAAACTTTCAGGGAGATCGAATTATATCAAGTTATACCCTGTTGTACAGTCATATAACAGTTATACCCCGTCATACCCCAGTTGCACCCACGTATATGAAGTTATACTTAGTTGTTCCATTTGATTCACAGATGTTTCCCTACATTATACCATGACGTTCTTAGGGCCACTTTTATCCAGATATATCCAGTTATAAAACTTATAGCCGGTTATATCCACTTATATCCAGTTCTTAGGGCCACTTATATCCTAATTGTAGCCTCCATGAAACCATGACATCATTCCTGTGTAGCCTCAAAGGACCTATGGCACAGTGGTCCAAAAGATGGGGCAACGCTTGGCAAGACCTGCTCACAAAGGGGAGGAGGCGCCTGAAACATGCCAAGCTTGCTGCAGCTCTCAGCAGTGATGGTGATAAAGAAAACAGATTTAACCAATCAAATAGCATCAAAAACCAATCATTTAATGGTTAATAGTGATGGTTAATAGTGGTTAATAGGCTATAAACCAACAACAATGGGAATATGATGGTGATCTGGTTGGTGGTTTGGAACATGGATGAACATGGCTTTTATGACTTTCCATTCAGTTGGGAATGTCATCATCCCAACTGACGAGTTGTCCATCATTTTTCAGAGGGGTGGCTCAAAACCACCAACCAGTCATTACTATTAACCATCATTAACCATATAATAACCATGGTATTAACCATTATTAGCAGTATAATAACCATATAATAACCATGGTATTAACCATTTGAAACTATGGTGATTTAAACAACACAAATGGGGATCAAATGGGGATGAAGTTCTCGTTGAAGGCTCTGGGATTGGTGGAACATGGATTGTGGCTGGGTCGATGAAAAACCACCGCACTTTCCCAACACACAATTTTTGGTACCTGATGGTACCTGCATATGCATTATCGGTAGGTTGCATCATTTCGTGAATCATCCCCAATTTGGCCAAGATGTTTGGTATTCTTTTGTAATGAGTGTTTTTGTATGTTTTTGTAACCATCTCGAAATATCTCGAACATGGGGGGTTTCTCAAAGAAAAATGTGCCCCCCCAATTTTGATTGTTTAGTTCTTCTGAAATTCGCATCGTGGGCAAACCAACATCTCTGCAAGGGAGTCCCTCCCAGTCATATATGTTTGCTGGTTTATAAATCCCTCTAACTATAGACATAGTAGGCACCAACAACCCCACAGTTATAGAGTTATAATATGTTATAATAGATATTACTTAACAACCAACCTAGCTATCATGCATTTGCATATAGCTTCCAGTGTTTGGTGACAACGAGTTCATGTTTGTGTTGGTCAAGCGTTATGAATCCCATCAAAAGCCATTAAAACACCCTGGTGATCTAATCTAATCAAAATCCAATCAAAATCCCATCAAAACCAAGTGTTTTTTTCCTGAGCAGATACCTCTCTGACGACCTGGGGCCTTTGGGGCCCTAGCGCAACAAGCCGGTGAGGTGCAAACCATCATCAACGGCGAAACTGTGGCCAAAACCGTGGTCTCGGACGTGCGGCACACCCAGCTAGGGTTCAAAAATGGTAAACTTTGTGGTGTATGAATATGTATATATATATAATTATATATATATATATATATGTGTGTGTATGTATATATATATATATATACGTGTATGTATGTATGTATGTATGTATGTGTGTGTGTATGTATGTATGTATGTATGTATGTATGTTATGTTATGTTATGTTATGTTATGTTATGTTATGTAATGTAATGTAATGTAATGTAATGTAATGTAATGTAATGTAATGTAATGTAATGTAATGTAATGTAAGGTATGTATGTATGTATGTATGTATGTATGTATCAAGAGTGTTCAACCTACCCCCCCCTGACGTTCCCCCCCCTGGTGTTTGTGAACACTTCAAAAATTATTAAGGCCTTAATAATTTTCGGGGCTCTTTTGGGAGTGCTCCAGTGCTTTCAGTCATGATAGCATCGCATTGTCCAGAGAATTTGAAAAAAGACACAAGGATCGGCCACTAATAAGGCCTTATTAAGCCACATTTGGTTGTGACAGCCAAGAAAGGCATTTTGCACTAATAATGCTTTATTTGGTCCAATTCGACAACTTTTCCACGATGGAAGTATTTGCTGACATGTCATGGTGGGCTCCAACTAACTCAGTACTTGCTAACTTTGAGATGACAACAAGTTATGGGAGCCAGCAAGTAAGCAAGTTTGATTTGGTCCAATTGAAAATCGGCTCCAGTTGGAAAATATCCACGAATGGACAGCGGAAATAGAACACAACCGGCACTGGGGGGGGTCAGGGCGGCCCAAAAAATGTTTCAAGTAAACATTGGTGACGCATATCTACAGTGTTCATTTCATGTGTTGATTTTTCCTGTACCGCGTGACCGCGCCCCGTGGTCCATGGATTTGGATGGCGACGACGAGGACGAGTCTCCGGAAAATGAAGCGGCGGAAGATAGATTTTCCGAGAAATGCACCTTGTTTTGGCTTCCTATTTTGTTTTTTTTTTGTGTGTTTTTTTTTGGACTGTACCAGGTGTTGCAAAGAAAACATCACCATATTCCTTGAAAACCATGGGACAGTGGCATCTGAATCATCAACTCCATTGAAAACAGTGAGGCACCATCGCAATTTCAGAGGACATTGAGTTGATTGCATACACTCAAACAGACGACCAGACCTTGTGGATTGGTTCAGCCATTTTCCCGATGATTTGGCCACAGCTGTCGATGAAGAACCTCATGAAAAAGGCTTATGACGCTTGTCATATTCAGATCTAACACATGTGGCCGCAGTGTTGACAAAGTGAACGGGTTCCAAATACACCCAACAAAATGTTTCAACAGGATCCATCAGGATCCCATGTTTTGTGATGGAAGCTTAATAAGGCCTTAACAGGCTCCTATTAAGGGCTGTTGCAAAATTTTGACGCTGATATCAAAGGATTCAATTCAAGCCATGTTTATATTATATTGCTGTAACCTGCAGTTTTTCACCAAGAGGGATGGAATCACAACTAAGTTGTCTGGAGAGTTTATCGAACCTTCAAATGGGCCACGCTAGCGCCCTGTCTCTGTGAGAGAGGTTTGGATTTGGCGACTGCCTGAATTTACTCAGCGATGGTACATGGTATTGGATTTATGGTGACAGGGGGATAAACCATATGTGGAGCTTTCATTTTTTTTATGCGTCGGCCACTCCTCAGTAACCCAGAACCCCTGCTGGAAAACGAGGAGAGGACGATTTCAGTTTGGTTTGGTCTCCTGAAATCAGTTAATAAGCCCTTATTAGACCCTTATTGACTTATTGATGGTAGGAACAAGACACTTGAACATTTCATGGTGTTGACATAGGGTTTGCATCCCCTGTTTTGCACGTAAGAGTGGTTCAATTGGTATTGTTTTGTTGCGCTTGTTGCGGCTAGGAGTTTATGATTTTGAAAAGAGGCGATCCACAAAATGCTGAGTCCAACATAGACCAATTTCATTTTTTAAGTTTCAGCCATGTATTGAACTTTTCAGTACAATTTTTAATCTTTGACTGAAATGTTGGGGTGATACCATTTTCTAACAGTGCCATCATGCGCCACCTCGTCCATCATGTCACCGTGATATCATATGGTTGTTTTCGTCGAAAATCTTTGCTGCGCGAATCATCACATGTTTTTTTCTTTCATCGCTAGGTCCATGTCAATAGACAGCTAATAAGGCCTTATTAAGGGTCAGAAGGAGACTTATGAGAAGATTTGCTGCGCTTGTGCGAAACATGCGTTTACAATTTCTGATGTTGAATTGTGATTTGCATAGCAGAGTCGGCCCACCACCCTAGACAAATTTCGTTGACTTACACAGCTGTATGTTCATTTTTCCAGCACTGCTTTTTATTTCCCAGCGCATCTTTTGAAATGTATTGCTGGAGCCTTTTCCAGCAATGGCCGTATGGCAGTGTTTTCGCCAAGGGACTCTGTTTCATGAGTCATTATTTTTTTCACATGCCCAGTGATGGGCCAAAGTAAATAGACAAGTAATAAGCCTTTATTCAGAAATTGCGCGCATCTATCATAAGCTCTCCGGCCTCTCAGAAGGCTGCTGAAAATTGACAGGGCACATATTAGGGGGAAGCGGTCTTGAGCCTCCTAGGGTTTAACAATACCTTAATACTGCCTTATTAGTCAGGATGTCTAAGACACAGTTTTTTTTTCCAGTCACCTAGGAACTCCGTGCTTCAGTGGAAGATACTCATCGCAGACTGGCCGGGCTGGGAAGTTCCGACTTTTTCCGTTTCGAAATCGACCCCTGTGGGAAAAAGGCCTGGCCAGACCACACAGAAGTGGTGGCTTCCGCAAACGGCTTTGCCAACCTCTTTGGCTGTCTCCTACCTCACTTGGGGGATGAGCCATTGGAAGCGGGCTTTGGCAGATCGAATGGTGTGCGCCCGCCATGTCCAAAAACTTGTGTCAATTTTGGCCTGCAGCCTTTCAACCTTTGAGCTTCGCCTGTACAAGTTGGGGTCCTCACCCCGGAGGTGGCAAAGTGTGACTGTAGATTCTACTTTGGTTTTGCCGCCGTTCATGTGGCCAAATGATGGTCTTCAGGCATTTCTTGAAGCCTCCTGGTGGGTCTGTTTCAACCGAGAGGACCACAACATCCAGTCAAGTTTCGAAAGACCGATCTTGAGTGATTTCTTACTCTTTTGCCTGGGACCCACCAATTCTTCACAAGAGCAGGTCCCAGACCAGGTTTCCTTGGCCTTGTGCGTTCTGACACAGATAGCGCAGTTGCTGGATGAACACACCACCCAGCTTTCCAGAACACGAGAAATCATCCACCGTTCCAAAGCTGTGGCCAGCAAAGCCAAATGGCGACACGAAGCCAAAGACAAAGGTCTCGAAGTTGCCACGAAGCTGTGGTTTCATCCAGGTTTTGCCACTTGGCTGACGTCGCACTGTCACATGTACTTACGATTTCCGGGCTCACTGATGTGTTCAAAATACATTAAAACATTGATGGTATACTGCGCATTTACCAAAACAGATTGGTTTCCCAGAAGAACCACAAACAATTATTGCATAATTTTCAGGGTATAAATAACACAATGTGCCTTATTAAGGCCTTAATAAGGCCTTATTAAAGCCTGAATGGTTCAGACTTGCAGGAGTTGGGGTAAGAACCTGTTTTACTGGACTCCGCGCATGGCAGGAAGACCAAGCGAAGGATGACAACATCGCTGGGAAGAAAAGCCCTCTGGCATCACCATTCGTTCAGCGATGTCCAAGATTTCTGCCGATTTTTCATTGAGTTGGTACCTCCGAATGATGGTCGTGCCTGGTCTTGGTGTGGGATTGGACCAATTTTGCCCAACTGTGTATTCTCAAAGTTTCTCCCTAAGTTACTTGTTCTAGCAAGTTCCTAACTAAGGTTTCCAAATGGCCAATGACAGGATGTAAAGAAATGAAACTCGCATTATCTATATCTATGTTATATATATATAATATATTGTTTCTGCTGGGCTCTTTAAGTGAATTAGTACTGTACCGGCCGCATCGCTGTAGGGATGCTACTGGGAGCACGCCCTATCGCACTTTCGGAAATCCCTGGTGCTGCATGTAACTTGGAGAACTGGGCGCAATTCCAAAACGATTTTTGCAGTGTCAATCAATTTAACCAACACCGGTTGACGCTATGCATTTGCGGAGTTCGCCAAACATGCTGCTATTAAGCATCTAGTAAGCCTTTATTAAGGGACAGGCATCATGGTGTTGTTTGAAATTGGCAAGAACCATCACCCCACCATCGATGATGATGATGTTGTTGAGGATGTACGCAACCGAGCACGGGTTATCATCCACCCCTCCATCACCCCACCATCGTTTTGTTCAGGTCTATTTTGATGGGAGTACCGTCTCGCGTTCTCCCATCGAATTGTTCCACTTTTATTCACCTGACATTCAGCGCGGTGGCTATGGACCACCCATTGCCGGGTCTCTCAGGTCCAGCGTTGCATTTTTTATGACATCTATGAGCACATCATACAAAGATGGACATATAATTTTGAAATTGACTAAAAGTTTCCTAGCCAAAGGCGCCAAGTAATCTTTGTAACATATTTCTGTCAATGAAACGTTTGCGCTCTCAGTGAATGGGTTGAGAAACCTACCGCCGCCGACCGCAGCAGATTTCTCTCTGGAAGCCACATTGTTGATGGTAAGAAACAACAAAACCAAATCAGATCTGATTCGACTTGTTCAGTTCAGAGAATTTTGAAAAGGGTTCGGAATTTCGATATCTCCAAGTCAATTGTGGCATTTTGAACGTCAAACTCTGCCTTGCCGTGGCAATGGAACGCCAGTCGAAGAGGCTGAAGCTGGAACAAAACGCAGGCGACAGTGCCAGTGAATCCAGTGGCATGTCATTGACCTGCGTCAGTGAACCAGATAGCGACGCGCCACCCTGGACACAATCCTCCACATGCAGCCATGAACCTTTTGAGGACCAACCCGAATACTTGATTTGCAGTGCAGGGGGTTTAGCATGGGCTTAAAGCCACTACAGCATTTTCTGTAAAATGACGGGAACTGCTTGTTTTTTACTTTTCGCCTTGTTATTAAGGTACTAATAAGGGCTTATTGATTTACTGTACTTATCCATCCCCAAATTCTTATAATGTGCGCAGTCCTTTCTGAAATTCAATGATATTATTTGTTAATCATCCAAATGTCGCCGGTGGGGATTCGCAGGATCTGAAGCGAGATCGATCTGCCATCGCCAGCACTGCAAGGTTTCTCCAAATTGCTTGGCGCGTGGCTCACAAGAACCACGGCAGAGTAATTAAGGACAGAATCGTGCTTTCATATCAGATCAGATCCATGCGTCCATCAAAAAGATAGAATCGGGGATCGTCATTACACCATGGACCATGTTGTACTATTATACTACTAATAGAAGCTTAATAAAGATCACACAACCCTTACTGTAGCCAAAACCGCAAGGTTGAACTTTTTTTAGCCCATGTCATGACAGTCCGGAAAAGAACCGTAAGCAGCCGCAGGACTCGCTTCTGGTCAAACCAGGTGGTGTGAGGGCCTCTAGCTCATGCACAGGTGCCTACACATCGGAAATGGCTCTAGCGATTCTTCAGAAGACTGTAAATGAGAGCCGCCTACTTCCGCGGAAGGTTACCATGACACCGGTATCCACACATGCCCCTTGTTTATTTTATTTAATCCACATCTATGTCGTTCTTTTGTTTGGAACCCGCGAGTTAAGGGAGTTTGAAACAAGTGTCATTTCAAAATTCACCTTGTCCAGTCATGTCAGTAAGAAGAAAAACGGGCTCGGGCACGGCTTGCTCTGAGGAAATCGACGAGCACTGCAGGCAGCTCATCGTTGATCACAGTGCTTGGATTCAGGAAACCACCGGCGACTTCTCCCATGCTCCGTGTCAGTTTGGAAATTTAGAGGATTGTTTGCCAGCGGGCACAATCAAGCCTGGTAGTTCTTTCATGGAAAAATTACACCGGGTCAGCAGAAGCCAAATCATGACCAAGCAGTGGTGTTACACTCACGACAGATATTGCCCATTGCTATCCCCAGCTGCCCAATCAGACATTGACACCTCTGGGTTACCTTGTTGGGACCACAGTCTCATGGGAAAGTTTCGGAGAGAAGAAGGGCCCACCAATAGCGTGTTTATGTCTCACGCGAAGCTTCACAAAGAGAGACGAACGCCGATCCTGGTCATAGAGAATGTGAAGGCCAGGTTGTTGAACTTGGCTTGGAGCAAACCAGTGGTACTTAATAGACCCTTATTAAGTACTTATTTGCTTGTTGTGGGTGCTCAACACGTTGTATTCCATAAGTATGAGTCGAAAAGATGCCATGTGGAATGCAAAGTTGTCAGTTGTCACTGGGAGACTACATACGTTATCCATCGTTATCCCCCAAAACGATATGATGCACAGGTATGGTGTTTGCGGAAATTTCAACCATCAAGAATCAAGATGATGTAGGATTGACTTTTCATTTTCAAGAAACGTGGCGGGTGAACCTGTAACATAGCTCAACATGCCCCGATTCTCCAAAGAACATGTGCCAAATTGTTCGTGCTTGTTTGAACCGCTCCCCGGATGTGTGGGTACCTTTTAAAAATGCGGTTGCCATTTTGTCACATGGTTTTTTACTTCGCACTGACAATGGCAGTTGTGAATGCAAGATCTGGATCGCTGTTGGAACCAAGCAATAGTGGTGCTACATGTTGCTAAATATAGCCTTATTAAGGTCCTAATAACAACACACACACCGCATACCCTCAATTATATGTTTTTATGTTCCAGGAACCCAATTTTGTCTATGTTCATGGTCTATGCCTGTTCCCAGTCATTGCTGATGAGCATGATCGAGTACCTGTACAACGACGACTATGATCTCTACTCGATCTACGTGGACGTGTCGGATCAGGGGCACAGCGGGGCAAGGCGTCCGCGAGTGTGCCTCCAATGAATTCAGTTCATTTTCAAAAGATACAATACAGTAAACGGCCAAAACAGGCGCATTTCAATGTGACAACCCTATGAACAAAAAAAGGCCGAAGCAGGAATTACTTCATAGATTGCACTGATGCATCCAGTAAAACATGGTTTTACCAGACATCGATTAGCGCCCAATCATCTTAGGTACATCATTTGCGCGCACAAACTGCGAACGGAGATGTTGCTGGACCCAGTGGAGTTCTACCGGGAGATCACAAGCTACTTGAGAGCATCTCTGTCCACAGTGCCTAGTTCCTATCTGATTTCTGATCATTGCGAGATCATGCGAGAGGCTAGCGCTCTAGCAGAAAGGCGGAAGCTCCCTTTTATCCCTGTTCCCAGGCTGTAATTCTGAATGGCACTGTCCTCCCAACAGTCCCTCAATAATCAGGGTTTTTAAGGGCTTATTAACATCATATTATTGTGTAATTGTATGTAATTGTGGTAATCTGGTAACAATTTCATTTGGTTTCGCGTTGTTTAAAAACATTGAACATCAATGAGCACATTGAAAACACCAAAACCTTGAAAAAACATTGAACTCGATCATTGAACAAACCAATGAAAATAGTGAAAACATTTTAAAAAGATTACAGCAGTGAAAACATTGAAAAACAGTGAAACATTGGAAAAAATCATTGAAACCACTGAAAAAAGTATCGGGAAACTTGAAAAACAGTGAGCCCGCTATGAAATGGGTTTCTGTTGGTGGACGGTATGTTGTACCATGTATCTAGAAGAGTACCTTAATAAGCACTTATTAAGCCCTTATTCAGAGTTGCCATCTCTAAGGTACGACCCGGGGAAGACATTGATTTGACCCACTTGCTCAACCAACGCGAAGCCGGGGTTCTACGAGAGCTTTGTCAGACTTACAGGGACAAGTATGGAAAAGACCCAGAGAGCAACCCAAACCTCTTCATTTTTCTAGGTGACAGTGCAGCTAGGACTAGCTGGACTGCAGCCAGCAACAAACTTCCGACTTTTAGAAGGAATGGAGGGCTGTATTGGGGGGTCATGCACCGCCGCTGGCTCACTTGCAGAGAGAAGCTAGCTGCGCTGGGCTTCCCGGTATGTCCAGATTCAGCCCTGAGCATGGGCGTGCCAGTTCTTCCAGTTTCGGACCGCCGACGTGCCGCAGCAGTTTGTGGCAATTCCATGCACTTTTCAAGTGTCGGGGTCATTCAGCTGGTTGCTTTGTGTTCATTTCGGCTAAAGTAGCGAGAAAGTTGGAAACTGCCAACTGGTTTGGAGGCATTTTGCCTTGAAGTTTGCACCCTGAACTACAGAACGCCATTGCAGATCGCTGAAGTGGCAAAAAAATAATGTTCGGTTGGCTTGAGTTTTGCACACTTCCGAAAACATGGAACCCGCCAAAGCTGCCGAAACAATACATTTTACGAAAGCAAGTGTGGTTTATTTAGCCTACTTTCTGGACGCAAAGCTTGCCCTGAAAGAGTGCATTGAAACAGTTTTGGCAACTTCTTTCGTCGATTTCTGAGCTTGTAACTGGCACCCCTTTTGAGCTCAATCAAGCAAGTGAGGCTAGTGTTTCAAGTCTTTGACTGAAATCGCGCCATGAGCCCGAAGCCCAAGGAAGGAAAGGAGCCTGGAAGAGGGAGAGGTAGAGCCAGGGGGAGGGGAGATCCTGGTAGGAGAGAACCAGCCCCGAAGAGGCCTGGGAAGCTTCCTTTCAACACCCCCGAACCACCAGCTTCCCCTCTTGATCTTGCTTCCGGTTTTGCTCCTGGTACTGGTCCTTTGCCATCCCGTTCAAAGAGTCGTCAGCCACCATTTCCGCCTGCTGTGGAGCCCCGTGATGCCACTGCAGCCATGCGGGGGTCAGAGAGCCCGGTTGTGTAGCCCAATTGCACCAGATTTGTTTCTAAAGCAGCTACGAATATAAATTTCGAGATCAGCGGAAAACGTAAATAAAATATAACACACGCCCACTATTCATGGCTTTGCATATTAATATGTAACATTGATATTATCATTATCATACACAGATATGTGTGAAATTGCGTTTTTTTGTTTTTTTTGGGGCATCCAACCCCTTAATAAGGCCTTATTAGCCTGGTGTGCCTCGTTTCACCGAGGTATCCTTCTCACAATGTGCCAGTCGGTTTGGAGCCAGAACGCCCTGGCTCTTCCAAAAAAAAGGACGATCACAAAGAACCTAGCATCACAGGTCGCAGGAGAGAAGCGCAGCAATTCCACGGCAACATCTCCAAGATTATCGCTTCTCAGCCATACTGGGAGGATTTGCAGGCCCTCGAAACCAACCTTTTTAAAGTGGTTGGAATAGAAATATAATAACTGATTGCTGTTGGGTCCGAGCGAGCTCAAGTCTTGTCATGACTATTCATAACTTGAGTATGGGGAAAGTCAACCGGTGTGGGAAAGTATGCAATTTTTTGAAACCTGGACCAACGATTGAAAATAAATAAGTCGGGCACGGTCTGGGTTACCCAAGCAAGGTTTGTCAAAGTCTTTAATTAAGTTGTCCCAATGATTTGTCCAAACTTGGAAACCATGAAAATAGAACAATTGAGGGGCTTATTAAGCTTTTATTAAGGCATGTCACAAATCCTGACTGTTCCTTCTATTTTCTTAAAAGCTACATACTGCTCAGATCGTGATGACAATTAAACTCAGATGATGATGACAATTAAACAGCACGAGGTCGCCATTCGGTGTTATCAATCAACGAAGTCTTTGCCACAAACCGATGTGTTCTTTAAGTAAAAACGATGTCGCCAACCAAGAACCACCATCTGCAGAAGTGGCTGAGCGCTGCGGACGAAACTTTCGGCGGGGAAGCGGTGACGAACAGGATGAGTCGACCGGAGTTGATGATGATGGTTACCTTCTTCTTCGGGTGGTCTCCAGAACAGTATCCGGTTTCGATCCTCAATCCTTTGTTGAGGTAGTTTTTGCCACGGTTAAGTTCTATGATCTATGTTCCTTCTAATTTGCTGGAAACATAATAGGCACGTTGTCCGGTTTTCAACCAGTCATAAGCCCTTATTAAGCCCTTATTAATGTTATGTGTATTCTTTAGTCTTAGTATGCTTTCGGACAGTAACACGGAGCCTTCAGAATTCAGAACTGAACATTTTGATATCTGATATCAAAAGCAATGGAAATCATGTCACTGTACTGTATCTGTATGGAAAGTAATTTCAATCAATTTATGAATCAGGTTGTCCTGGATTTTCCAAGGAAGAGCCCCTCTCTTATGCTGGGCATTGCCAAGAACGAATACGAGCGACGGGGGTCGCCAGCGGCGTCGACCAGGCAAAACGGCGCTGGTGCTAAATGGAGAATTTCTTTTGCCGTGCTTAGCCTTCAATGTTAGCCTGAAACTCAATCGTAATATTCAGGAGTTAATAGCCTACTATTAAGTAGCTATTATCAATATTTATTGAATTATAAACCGAACACGGATATCTTTCTCTTCAAAGTCGAGGGTCAGGAAGCATCTCAAGAAAGCAAAGGAAAGGTGTCAGGTTTATCAGTTCTGACCAATGTCAATTTAATTTACACCAGCTCCCACTTACAATTATACCTATACTGTTTGCTTTCCTGTCGTTCAACGGATGCAGGTGGAAGCCATCAGACATCTTCCGTTTTATGAAATTCAAGTTGGCCACGTCAGATCCAGAGGAGGATTTGGGAGTCTATGGCCATGAGCTGCCACAATGCTCTGGGATCTCGCCGGCGCCAATGCCACAGGAAGTCATTGAGTGGGAGAAGGCTGGCAAACCCACAAGCCGTGAGAGCAAGACCCCGGGGAAGTCATTGGTGGCAGCCTTGCCCAAAGCTCCGGTGAAACGGAGAACAGCTGAGGCAGAGGCAGCGCCTGCTTTCCCTGCATTGGCTGAATCTGCGCATGCCAAGAAGAAGGCAAAGGTTCTGAAGCCAGATGACACAGGCAAGACAAAGTCACCTGAAAAGGAGGAGCTGCCACACTGCGGCTACAGTCTGATTCAGAAGGGTGTCAACAAGTGGTTTCTGCATCACAATGATCTGAAGCTCAAAGTTGCATTGGACGATTTTGGCAAGAACACACAGTACATCCTGTACCAGGACCCAAAGGGGAAAGAGGTGGTGTGGGCGCAGTGCGCTGACGCCAAGCCAGCGTATTGCAGAGAAGTGATGGAGCGGTATTGCGCTACGAGAAAGAGCACTATCAAGAGTTCTGCCGCATCAGCAAGTGCAGTGAAACCTTTGCGGGGCATGAGCGCTGGTTTTGCAGCTGCGCCTGAGATTCCTAGCCCTCCTCCGTCACCACCTCCCACAAGGAGTTATCTGGCTGTCGGGGCCTCATTATTTACTTACCCGATGCGACAAAAAACAAATCACACTGACTGGTGGGACAGACTTTTTTTATAGTACTTACTACCGGAACGGGATACGGATCAATTTCCAAAAAAAAAAGGATATGGAAAGATGTTTGCAATGAAACAGGTTATTAAGGCACTATTGGGACATATTAAGGCATTATTAAGATATGAAGTAATTATCACACTGTTTTATATATACTAATACCGGACCAATGTCAGAAGTTCAGATGGGCGAATGCTACAGTTTAGTTTTGGCCTAGGCCGATACTGCAGTGATCTCGGAGGAAGAGGAGGAAGAAGTGGGAGAAGCGCAAGAAGGAGAAATTGACGGGGCTCCTTTTGCAGAGGCGACGTCTTAAAGTAATTCAGGATTTCGTGCCCAAGTTTACCAAAACAAACATCACCTGTCTTGGAAAGGGATGCTGTAGTGATGCTGTGATACCATCTATTTATGAGCAGGCCTTATTAGAGCCTTATTAAACTCTAAATATGGAACATGTTTATTAAAAAATATTTATATATACATAAATATATTGATATTGAAACCATGTCTTACTGTATTACTAACCTGCCTTTTTTGCCATTCACGCACAGGAAGGGGAGGAAGAAGAGCCTGAGGAGGAAGACGAGGTCCAGCCGGTTGAGCCACCCATTTGGCAAAGGCCGCACTTGCTGGATCACCCAGATACTGGCAAGCCAATCTTGATTGACCCTTTCGTGCGAAAGCAGGTCAACCTCAAAGCTTGCGACGATTATGAGCTGGTGCCCCAATTTGCAGGCGCTGAATGTCGGGGCTACATCTTGCAATCCAAGAGTAGCGCGGCCGGCATCACACCATACTGGGCCCACAATCTGGTGTCTAGCAACAGAGGCAAGGACATTGTGCACCCGAAGGTTTTGGAACAGCTGGTCGAAATTGACAAGCAGAATCCCATGTACATCCAGCCGGCGCCCATCGCACCCAAAGTGAAGAAGGAACCTCTGAGTCCTTCCAGGCGTCGATTGAAGAAGGAGGATTCGGCTCCAAAATCTACAATGGGGGATGAACCGAAGGAAAGCGTGGAAGAGCACAAGCCAGCTGAGGAAGTTGAGGAGCACCAGGAAAAAGAGGTACCAGAAGAAGATGAAGACGCAGAGATGGGCGGTGGTAAGACCCGACCAGCGGAAGACCTTGAGGATGCCATGGACGTCGCGAGCGGTGGTGGTGCTGGTGAGGATGATGCTGCTGACGCCAGCTAGATTCAGATTTCCAGCTTGGACATCTTTGGCTTGAAATCAGCCAACAATCTTTCCATTCTAAATTGGGCCCCCGCTCAGAACCTGAAGAGAATGTACTGATTATGATGAAGAAACAAAAAAAGGTTCATATCAGTCAGTTCCATGGTTGTTTCCTTTTTATTTTTTGACAGAATCGCGGACCCAATGCTGAGGACTGAGGTGCATTGTAGTATCCTGCAAAATTTCTATTCATTCGGTGACAGGGCGTGATTTTCTGGCTATATAACATATAAGGAATGTATTTTGAACCTTAATAAGGCTTTAATAAGCTCTCTTGAAGAGACTTGCCATCAAATATCACGAAACCTGAGAAGAATGGAGAAGAAACATTTTTTTGAACCAAGTAAAATCGCATCCTGTCACGCACACCACGTGTGAAAAGTGACACTACTAGGAAGCTCGCGAGTTCTTACCCAAACCGAGAATGATTGGAATGTCTCATTTTATTATTATCGTATATCGATGTAACGTGATAAAAACAATAGTCTGCAGTATCTGTTTCCTTGTGGACCCCGTACGGCCGTTCCTGGGTAAATCGCTTGGTCGATCGCTTTCAGCCAGCCAATCTTTGATTCAATCATTTCCGCTGTGTGT